TGCATGCAATGCTGATTAAACCCAATGCTTATAACTCAGAAACAATGTAGGAAAGTACTGGAATTTTCTCTTTCAGTGAGAAAAACCATGATTTCAGCAAAAACAGAACCACAGATCTCCCCATTCCAAGCCGTCTTTTTTTTCAGAATCATGCCTTGTTGTCATTTAACCAGGCTGTTCTATTTGAAATTCAACAACTTTCCTGATTTTTTAGAACTCAGTTTATTGTAAAACCTGATTTAAGTTGACACAAAAGGACAAAGAAATGAAATTAAGAAAGCAGGAAGGATGAAATTGTAGCATTCCTAAAAGGGAAAAATGACAGTTCAGCACGGGAAAGCTGTGTTGACTTTGATCTAAACCTGAAATTGCCGCAGTTGCTACAAATTCTCTTGTCTCTCTGGCTGTTCAGTTCTCTTCTTTTATGTGACATTTTTAGAAAAGAGATTTTTACATAGAAAAGCATTAAATCTAACCAACATCTTTCCTTTTTTATTCTTTTAAAAATTAAAACAGTTTTCTTCCACCAGCTTCCAGGGGAAAGCCTAGCCAAGCCAGATTTGAAAAGCAGAGTTTAGAAGATTATTCTCCATCCTTGAAAATCAGTTATACAGAGAGCTCTGGAAAATAAACAATGGCTCAGACACACCTGAGTGGTCCTCTAGAAATAATCCATCCAAACAAGAAGGTAGAATCCACAGCATTTGCAAACTACAGGCTCTTCTCTGCTCTTTCTACAAATCCACCAGTGCCTTTTCACCTCAGAGAAAATTCCACACCACAGGAGGTGGAGTTCAGCTAGCTGGGCCAGCTCCCTCCCCTTTCAAATATCCAAAGGGGGCCCACTTTTGAATGGCACAAACACAACAGTATATCAAGCATCCAAATTCCTTGGATTTATGTTCCAGCCATGTTTACAACCAAGGTTAAACCTGTATTCTCTCAAATTGTCAATGAAAGCAACACAGCATGGTGCATGTTCAGATGAACAACCTCCCCCCTCCCACAGCCCAAATGCACATTCATTTTTGCAGTTAGCATACATTAAGCATCAAATAGGACCCATTTGCCTGAAGCATCCATAGCATGAGTACAAGAGCTCATAAAAGGCTGATGACCTTCCAACCATCTTAGATATATTTTTATTTATTAAATTGAGAAAAATCACTGCATTATGAAGAGGCCCCTTAGGCCCACAGGGCAGCCTTCCTCAGGTGACATACATGCCAAGGCTCTCGGGGGCTCCTTTGATGTTTTCCAACTCCCCAAGCTCACATTCAGCCATCCCAGGACAAAATGGACCCATCAGGTGAAGCCAAACAGCAGGCACAGTTGCAATGGAACATCAGGTCCTGATGCCTACCCAATCCAGCAAACACTGAGCAGCTCAGTCTATGGGAGTGGGACTGAAAGAGGGTCCATGTTCAGGCACAACAGGGGCTACCCCATCCTCAAGGGGTGGTGTGGACTGTGCACAAACCCACAGGCACTGCAGAGAGCTTGGCTGGAAAGACCACCTGTACTGGACCAGAAGCCAGACCTCACGTTAGTTGGAAATCAGCCTGCTGGACAGACACTTAGAAAACAAGGGGGGAAATGGAGGGAGGGCATTCACCAGAATCCCACCTCAGATTGCCTCTCTGTCAAAGGCACCAGCTCTGGTGGGGTGGCTATTCTGGCTCCCTTCCCTGATGGAGGCAATTCAGCTGTTCCTGGGCCAGAAGAACAAAGGCACTCTAGAGCATGTGTGAGCCCAGAGGCAGCTGCTTCCAGGGGAGACAGGGGGTGGGGAGATACAAATGCCACCGTGCTCTTAGGCAACTCCCCTTCTGTTCAGTGGGGCAGGAATACTTCCCTAGGGGCCACATTCTGTTAGCTGGGGAGAGTGTTGACCTCAGGAATCCTAAGGGCTGCCCTGGTATCAGAGCTGCCCCTCCCCTCTCTTCACCACACCATGCCAAGCAACAAAATCTCCTGCAAGAACTTCCAAAGACAAAGGGAACCACAACTGAACTATGCTGGAAAGGAGGCAGAAGAGAAGGCAGGGGAATGTTTTCTTTTAATTAAGGCACAAAAAAGATACTTTGACTTTTGGAATTCACTTTGCCACATGGCTAAAAATTTACAGCTGTTCCTCTCTCCCACTCCTCTGAGCCCCGGGAGCAAGAAGAGAAAGCCTTGCGCCGGCTGGTGGAAAGCAAAGGCAAGAGACATCACCCTTGGCAGCAGCAACAAAATCTGGTACTATATTTGGGGGAAAGGAGTTGTCAAAATATTGGGGGAAGGGGGGAACCCTCCCCATTCAGAGGCAGCAACTGCTTGCTGGGAAACAGCATCAAAATTTCAAACTCCACATTTGCACCTGGCTCCTGTACAGAGGGAAATGTAGCCGCCAGCGCCTGGCCCTCAGCATCCCCTTTAGCGCAGGATGTGCTGGACCAGAGCATCTCGGAGGCGAGGCTGCATCCTCCGTAGCATCTTCTCCAGCCAGCATCCTCTCTCTGCACAGATCAGAAGGCGCCTCGCGGGAGAAGCCAAACTTTGCTTCCTGCAAAAAGCTCCGTCTATATCGCAACGAAAGGGGGAAAGGACGAGTGGGGGTGCGGGAGGGGCAAACTTCCCGTCGCCTGCTAGACGTCTATTGCAGAAGGGGACAAGACAAAGTAAGGAGGAGGGAGGATGAAGAGGCAGGCCCCCCACCCTCCTCGAAGCCACCTCTGGCTCAGAGACAGAACCCCCGCCAGCAAAAGAACTCTGTTCTTTGCAGAAATATATATCTATATCTCGACTCCGTCTTTAAAGTCTTGGGAGGGTCGTTTTCAAGGTCTTTTATTAAATAATCAATCAAGGTCGCCCCCCGCCCCTGTTGCCAGCCAAACGCCCCAGAAAGCCCCAAACCCAATAAAATCGCCCCAAAGTGGAGTGACAACCCCCCTAAAGAAGAGATAGCATGATAGTGAGCCCTGACCTCCCTCCCCCCCCCCGCCCCGGTTTGTCGTCTCACCCACCGATGCGGATGACATGGGGCATCCCGTGGCAGGAGTGGAGCCAGACGAGCCCCAGGAAGAGTCCGGCGGCAGCGGCGGAGGCAGTGGAGGCGGCGGAGGAGCAGCGGCGTCGGTCCAGCGGCGGGAGGAGCGGGCGCGGGCGGCGGCAGCAGGTCAGCATCCTGGGCGGGCGGGCGAGCCAGCCAGCCAGCCGGGCTCCGGCTCCGGCGCCCGCTACACCTCCAGAGGCGGCGGCGGCAGCAGCGGGCGAGGCGGCGGCGGGGAGGGCGCCTCCCCCTCAGCCCGGGGCATCCTCCTGGCGGAGAGGAGCGGCAGCTGGAGCCGGACCTCCGCGGCGGCGGGGACGTGCAGGAGGAGGAGGACCCGGAGCCGCCGGAGCCGCCGCCGCCCCGCCACGCCCGGCGAGGCTCGGGCTCCCCCTACGCCCGGTGCGCGCTCGCCTGCCTGCCTGCCTCCTTCCTCCTCGCAAGTTCCCCCGACTGGCGCTGCCTCCCGCCGCCGCCGCTCGCTCTGCCTGGCGCGGAGCTGTGCAGCCGCGTCCACACGGGGAGGGCGGGGGAGCGTGGAGGGGGCCTGCTGCTCCTGCCGCCGCTGCTGCGGGAGGATCGCGGCCGAGAGGTGCCGGGGCTCAAGCCTCGGAGCAAGGCACGCCCTCTGGCCGGCAAGCCCTGCCCCCGAGGCTCAGGCGGAGGGGGAAGGCACTCTGTACATGCTCGAGGGCATGCCGGCTAGGCGAAGGGAAGGGGGCGGTAGTTCCCGGTGCTAAAGGAGCTGTCCCGGTGCTGAAAATACTGGGCTACGTGAATAGAACCCGAAGCTCCAAACGGAGCGGTCTTTTTCGACCCAACTGGACGGCGGGGTTCTCCAGGCGCAAGCGAGGAATTCGCCCCGTCTCCGGGAGAGGGACTTCTGGGAGGCACGTGGCCCGAAAGGATTGGAAGGGAGGGCCTCTGAACACGTGCAGAGTGCTTTTCTCCTCCTGGCTGAGGCAGCGGCCGCCCCGACGGGGCTCCCCTTTGGGTAGCTGCCGACCGCTAGGCGGGAGGAGAAGGGGGAGGAAAGGGGGAGGCAGCGGGGTTCACAGCAGCGGAACCTCCAGCTCTGGCCCTGCAGGCCTCAAAGGAGAGAGCCAGTTGGGAGAGGGGAGGGCCGAGGCGTGACTGTGGCGCCAGCCTTCCAGCTCGCGGAGGGGGGTGGGGGAGACTGCGCAGCCCGAAGAGTTCGCGCAACTCACGCACACAACGCCCATGTGAAATGCGCGTGTTTCCAAGAACTTGGACGCGGGGCGGCGGGGAGTTTTGCAGGAAGAAGTGCTGAAAGGAAGAGCCACCACCCCCTCGCCCGAAAAGATTCTTCCTTAGGAAAGCTGGCAAATATCCAGCCATCTGTGAGCGTCAGGGCGTGGGGTGAGGGACCCGAAAAGGGATAAGCTTATCCGTGCGCTACATCGAGACTGGAGAAAAGAAGGTCTGGGACGCGGGAGGCTCTGGTCCCTGCACTTCCCGGTGGTGGCTAAGTGAGGAGCACTGTTTGAGCCTCCGCTGAGATAAACTCCGTTCTCTCGGTCAAGAGGGGGGAGGATCGTGGAATCAAAGCGTGCTTTGAGACCAGGAATATGTTCGTTTCAAGAGGGGTGGAGGAGGTGCAACCCTTCGCAGTGAATAAATGTCTGGCATTTGATAAGTTGTTTGCGTGGCTGGAGGAAGGAGTTCATTCCCAAGCAACTACCGGAGAGTAAGACCCACTGGCAGCACTGCAGAGCTGTTGTGTTGCCCTTGGACAAGGAAGAGGGTGGGAGAAGCTTCTCCTGAGCGTCCCTCCTGCAGCAGAGAACCCTGTGCAATGAATAAATGACTTCCGTTGGATAGGGGCATAGGAAATTGCCTTAGTACAAGGCAATTGTCAGACCGTTGCTCACCTTGCTCAGTACTGTCTACACTGGCTGGCAGCAGCTCTCCATGGTTTGCAGCAGAGTTCTCTCCCAGCCCTACCTGGTGATGCCAGGGATTGAACCGTAGGACCTTCTGCGTGGAAGGTATATTCTCTACCACTGAGCTATGCCCTTTCCGTTTATGTGGTGGTGGTATGTGCGGCTGGAGGGAGGTGTTAATTCCCCATCAGACATCACCCAGCCTTAAAGGAGGTGACAGTGGAGTGCAAAAGTACCACCAGCTGGCCAGAGGTAGTTCCAAGAATGGCCTCCTCCCATACAGGCACTGTAGTAAACAAGCCTGTGCTGGAGCAGCAGAGAGTTTGGGGAATATGTGGGTGATTCTCTGCCTCCACGAAGAGGTCTTGCTGATTCTGCAGAGCTCGCCTTGGCATTCTCTGAGGGCCTTGCCTTCCAAGGCGAAGACACCAGCACATTTCATCCTCCGATTTGCTGTTGCAGAGTTCCAGCCGCAATCAAGAGTCGGGAGTGACTGGAAGCATCCTGAAATTGCTCAGCAACTGCAAAGCGAATAAATTTGTTCCAGGCAGGAAGAATCATTAAGTTAATCAGATGTGATCATTCTGCATGTTAAAGGGCAAGCGAACCCACCCACCTGCTCCCGGGGGAAGTCAGAAGGGTTGATTTGTTCACCATGCAATGCGGATCCACAAAGGGTTTGGCGAGATGCCAGAGAGAAATATGCATGCTCACCTCACCTTCTCTGCTTGCATCCTCCCGTTGCCTGGCTTCTAGGGGATGCTTGAAAGCTCCTTAAAAGGGGGTGTGGGATGGTTTGGAAAGAGGGGTCTCGGTCAGAGCTGCAAAGCTGCTTACCCTGTGTGGTCGCTTGTGCATTTTGAAGTTATCCTAAAACGGCTGGCTGTCCCCTTGCCCTCTACCCTGCCTTGCCTGATCAAAGAGCTTGAAGTGCATTACAAAATAAAATTAAACAATTTATGCCCAGCCAGTCAACAAGGTGCAGGGATAGGCTAACAGTAAGCACAGTCCCCTGTGCAGAGGCACACTCCCATGTGTGCTTTGGAGGAAGCTCACCCATGAAATGTCAAGGACACACAAGTGAAAAATATAACTGTAGTTTGCAAAAATGAAAATTAAAAAAAAGTTGAGCTCGCCTTTGAGTTAGCAAAATGCATATGAGCAGTTCCTCCTAAGCAACAATGCAGCAGCAGCCAGGAGGTTGATGCCCTGGAACAAGTCCAGAACAGGACAAGCTGTGCACCTTCTTAGGGAGATCATTTCAGGTTTTAGGAAAACCATTTTTATCTTTTAAGTTTTTATTTCATTAAAAGCATTTCTGAACCTCTTCATATTTTTATAAAATCTTGAAATGGTGTATACTATATACAAAATAAAACAGCATCCTTTAAAACAAAACACCGACTAAAATAAATATTAAAACAATAAAACAAGAGGAGATAAAAGCCTGGGCAAAAACACAGGTCTTGACAAGACGTCTAAAGCAGCTGGTGGTTGCTGCTCATGTCTAGCAGAGGGAAGGAGGGCACCCCACACAACAGGGGCAGCAGCAGGGAATGCCCATTTCAGGCTCACAACCCTGGCTGGGACATTGTGGTATGGCATGGTGCCCCCCGTGTAATTTCCTCAGGGAACCTGTGAGATTTTACAGGTCTTTACAGGGGTAGGCAGCCCTTCAGGTAACCTGGTCTGAAGTTCAGGGCTTTATAAGACATCCTTGATGCTTGTCAGTCTCACTTCTTTAACTGTGCCCAGTAACTTGGACCTCTCTTACTAAAAATATACCAGGCAGACTAATTCCTGCCTGAATCCTTGGAAAGATGCGGCCAATCAGAGCTGACAGTACCTGGCTATCAGGTCACCAGCCCTTGAATTCAAAAAGTCTCAGACTTGTTAAGGACTGGGAGTGGAGACAGCAGGCAGAGTCCATCATTTATTTATTTATTTATTTATTATTATTATTATTATTACGGAATTCAGTAGCTGAGCCCAGCACAAAAACTGTGTATTCACTGAAGCTGCACAGCATAAAATCATCAGACAATTAGGCTGCTAGCCATTGGTTTCAAACAAAGAAACCCTACTAACCTTGTCATTTTTTCCTAGTCACCTGGCAACCCTACAAGGTGGATAGGAGGTCCAGAACAACAGGACCTGGTTTCGCATGCTTTGCATGTGCTTTGCATGTGCTCAAGGTTTCCTGTTCCCGACACGGTTCACACTGGGACGATGCTCTTAACGCTTTGGTTTGCTTAGGGACATAAAACCATTTCATGTTCTTCTCACACCCGTGAGCAAAAAGAGCATATTTATGGGGAGACTCAATCCTATTAATTTTAACGCTGGGCTTTTCGAGAACAAAGGGAAACTGCTTACAAGAGAGGACAAATGTTGAAACATTTTATTAATCTCTAGAGAGAAAGGAGTGGGGGGGGGGGAATTGCTGATGGGACAGAGTATTTTCAAGTCCAAATCAAAACACGTTTGAAAGATGATCCACCCAGAAAGTGGTGTGAAATAAGCAATTTTGCCTCAGGGGCTTTTTAGTTTTCAGCAGTAATGAAGACAAAGGAAGGGCCTAGAAGGGGAAAAAAGTAAAGGGGGAGTGAGTAAAATGGTTGGTGGTTGAATTAGCCACAACTGCCTGCATTTTGTTTAAATTTATATGCATCAGGTATAATACAGCCACAATCAGTGTGAGTTATGAGGCCCTGTGTACACATTACAGAGATTCATGTGCCAGAGTTTCTAAATATGCCTGGGATTTGGCAAGGATAGATTCCTCGGTCTGGAGTGCCCTCTACTGAAATGTGCCCAAGTTCTTTATGTTTGATGGTTAGAAGCTTGATTGATGGGTTTGCTAAATTGAATTTACTCTATCGGGCTTCCCTCCCCAGACACACAAACACACACACCTCCTTTATAGTGCATTCTTCCAAGATTTTGTAAAAATATTAAAAAAATATGTCAGCCTTCAGCTTAAAGCAGACAGCCTACACATATATAATGATTCTTTAGAATGAAAGTTGCTTCAGTGTTCCTTGCAAATGGCATCAAACAAAAGGAAAATGGTGGTGTCTGAAGGCCAGGAAACAACTCTTGCTTTCCTTTGCCTTGGTTCAGTTGACCACAAGACTACCCCATACGACCCCATTCTTTTAACTGCTTCTTCCCTCCATCTCTCTCTTGCTGAGTTGACATAGATTGTAAGCCTCCTGACCAAAGGCACATGTGCTAATCATGCCCCTGCAAGGAAAGGTTGCAGCATCTGGGACTTTTTTGTTTGGAGAAAATGAGGAAGTGGTGACATGATACAAGGCTGTAAAATCCTGCATGGCAGAGAGAGAGAGAGAGAGAGGAGAGAAGTTCTTCTCCCCCTCTCATAACTAGAACTCATGGACATCCAAGGAAGCTAAATGTTGGGAAACTCAGAACAGTCAAAATAAAGCACTTCTTCACACAGTGCAGAGTTAAACTATGGCCTTTGCTGTCATGTGAGGCAGTGATGGCCACCGACTTGGATGGTCTTCTTACAATTCAGCTCATCTGCAAGTAAATTAGGCAGCCACACGGGTTTCTTTAGGTGCCTACCATTTTTCTTTCTTGTGGGAATTGTCTGGATTTGTGCCTTCAGTATTTTACCTTTAAGAAACTCCCACCCATCTCAAACTCTCTTCTCTTTGAGTATTTCTGACCATGGGATATCACCTTGTAGCTCCTTAAGCTACTTGAAGTCAGCCTTCTTAAATTCCAGGGTGCATGCCCTACTACACACAGCTTTTCCTTGCCTGTGTATATGATGAGTTATCTCTTTGGGATCCAAATGGGGTTTTAGTCAGCCTTGTTGCCACTGGATTCCTGTCTTTCCATTGTCTTCCCTCCTTCCCTGCCCCCCTTACAGAGAAAAAACATCAACCCATTGACACATATTCCAGGGGTTTCATCCTCCATCATGTGCAAAGGTTCTTTTGTGTCCTAAGCCCAGCCTCCCGCCACACTGCAGCCAGTCAGCACTCTCCTTGGCTAGAACACAATATGTAAGTCAAAAGTACAACTCCTGAGCGTTAAGCGTCATCCTCGGCCGCGACGCTGCCTGTCCTTGCTGAATATATTTCTATAGATTTGTCAGGGAAGCAAAAGCTACTGTACAAAGTCATTACTGTACAGCTGGAAAAAGAGAGGTAAAAGCCAAGCAGGAAAATATATGACCACTGTTGCCTGCCCAAAATGTGCCCTTGAAGGAACGACAGTCATACTGTGCTGTGTCAGTTTGAAATGAACAAAACACAATTGGAGAGAGAAAGAGATATAGAAAAAAAGCAAACCCCAAGTGAATGTGCTGAGCTACTGAAAACTTGAAATGGCTCCACCTTCTCCATCAGAAAGCCTGCCCAGACAACTCAACTAGAACTGCAGGTCAGAATAGAGCTGGGGTGACTTTGTGAATGGGTGTGTATAAGGGAGACTATGTTTATTTTTTTACAAGAGCCAGTGTGGTGCGGTGATTAGTGTTGGACTCGGACCCGGAAGACACCTGGGTTCAAATACCCATTCAGCCATGAACAAAGCTCACTGGCTGTGACTTGGGGCCAGTCACTTCATTTCATGTATTATGTTTCTATGCTCACATGAGTCAAAAGTGGTTTGCAAACAATAAATAACAATAACAAAGAAAAACACCACAACCACCACATGAATCACATAAAATAATTAACAAATCATCAGTAAAACAATTACAAATCTTCAGCAAAACAACCACCTTCTATAAAACACTATTAACAAAACAACTAAAAAATAAGCTAAATAGCACAAGAATAGTCGTAACATTCACAAAGCATTACAGCACTCATTATCCACAAAACAGTACAGTGGTAGCTCTACTTACGGACGCGATCCATTCCGGGGTGCCGTTCGCACCCTGGAAAGTCCGTAAGTAGAGCGCTGCTTCTGCGTGTGCGTGTGATGCAATCGAGTGCTCCTGCACATGTGCAAAGCATGCAGAACGCTTCTGCACATGCGGCGAAACCCGGAAGTATACACATCTGGGTTTGCCGGGTTCGCAACCCGAAAATCCACAACGTGAACTTAACACAGCTAGAGGTATGACTGTATGAACAATATTAGCAAACCAACAACCAAACCAAACTAAGCACTGCTGAATTCACACGCACTCTTGTCACCCCCACGACTCATAGTCTTCCATTCAGTTCATCAGAAGATGCATACACATAATGCCAGTGGCAGAAACTCCATTCTGAGGGCTCCTAAAGCTGGAGGCAATGTTGGATTTACGTATAAGCTAAACAAGCTATAGTTAAGGCCCCACTCTCTTGGGCCCCCCAAAAAAATTTAAAGAAAAAAAACCTGGATGTACATTTCCAAAATATAAGATAAAACACAAATAAAATAAAACCTACATACAGCAACAGTATTTTGTTTTGTGTAGGCTCATATGATGTAAGTAATGGGCCTCGCCTGCTAGTCTGCTCCCTAAAATATCACTGGTTAGATACCTATTAGGTCCATAAATTACCAGATAGCATATATTCAACACAAAAAACAGCAACAATTTGTTGTTGACGAAGGGCAGCTGGATTTATAAAGGGCCCCAATACCTTCAGGAGCTTAGGGCCTCATCAAACCTAAATCTGGCCCCAGCTGGAGGGTGGGACAAGGCAGGTAGAATAAGCCATTGCCTGATGGTCAGCACAAAGTCCCATTCCCCTCACTGCCTCTCAGTCTAATCTACCTCACAGGGTTGCAGTGGGGATTAAAAATGAGGTGTGGGGAGAACCATGTAAGCCATCTTTAGCTCACGGGGGGGCGGGATGTGGGCTATTATGTTCCACTGCTTTCCAGGCCCCTGCCTGCCGCAATGAGCCTCAGTCTAGAGCAGGGGAAGTCAACCTTTTTATACCTACCACCCACTAATGCATCTTTCTTGATGGTAAAATTTCCTTACCGCCCACCAGCGCTCAATGGAAGGAGGATTCAGCTGTGCCGTAGAAGCCCCTACCACCCACCTAGAATCCCGAAACACCCACTAGTGGGCAGTAGGGACCAGGTTGACAACCCCTGGTCTAGAGGGTGAACAGGCAAGGGCATTCCATTCCATTTTCTCCTTGCTGGCAGGTGTCACCCCATGCCAACATCCCTGTGTGGTTGGCAGTAGGTCCAGGAGCTGCAGCGGCATCACGGACTGCTGTTGGGGACCCTTGTAGCAGGGTTGCCATATGCTTGGAATGTCCCACGCATATACAGAATACTGCAGTCAACAGCAGTGCCCTGGTGGAGATCAACAAAAACGTCCACAGGAATTCGGATATATGGCACACCATGTTGGCAGTGCCATTTTTGCCGATCTCCCAGAAAAATAGCTAAAAAATGGCATCCCCCCCCCCCATGGTTTTGCAAAAAAAAGGCTAGCGGCAAAAGTAGGCAGTGAGGATGAGTGGCAAGAGTAAAGGCAATGGAGCATCATAGTGGGGGGGGTGTCCTTGATTTTGCGTAGAAAAAGTTGGATGGTATGCCTGCCTGCTGTCTCACAACTTGATGAGAAGACCTTCAAGCAGACTTGGGCTGTTTCCCTGCTTTTGTCCTGCTGTGCATTTCCTACAACTGCTGCTGCTTCCACCCAGGGCCTCATTTTGCTCCATCTTGGTGCAAAACTTACTAAAAGAGGTATGAAGGACAACAAGGTGACCCCAAGCTTGGAATCCTGAAATGACAACCCCAAGGAACTGGTTAAACTTTGCCAGCCTTCCCTGCCTGAGGCTAGATTTATTGTGGCCAACGGAGAATGTGAAAGGAGGAAAATAATTAGGACAGCAAGAGGGAGAGAAAGCATTGTTTAAATTAATTATGCCACAGACTGCCTCTCACATGGACTCATGTGGTGGGTTTCAGTCTCTGCCAGGTGGCAGGTGGGCTCCACAGGAGACCCAAATCCCTCTTCTCCAAGTGTGTGTGGGGGGGGGGGACGACGACACTAAACAAGGACGTTTGTGTTTCTTTCTCAGAGGCAAAGGGAGCTGGGAGGAGTAGGAGGAATAGGACCTTTTCTTTCGTCAGGGCTGAAAATAAAACTGAAATATTGCAATGCCCTCATACAGGTCTACTTGGAATACTGTGTGCAGTTCTGCTTGTGCATCTGAAAAGAGTATCATGAAGAGCAGAAAGGAGCTAAAAATGATTGGGTGGGGTAGCAATTCTCTTACGAGAGTAGGGTATATTTGTGACTTCTTATTTTGAAGAAAAAAGTATGTAATAGGGAACATGAGAGAGCTGCATTAAGCTAGGCAGGTTGTGGACAAAGTGGTTAGAGCAAAATTTAGTCATAATGGTTGTATGTCACTTCTAGTGTCTCTCTCTCTCTCTCTCTCTCTCTCTCTGTGTGTGTGTGTGTGTGTATACATACATACATACATACATACACACACACACCACACACACAGAGGCAATTTTTTCATGCATTTTTTTTACCTGCTCCTGCTCAGTATCATATTTCAAAAATAATGTGTGAATTTTGGCCAGCACATGTTTATTTGTCATCATAATTACGTACGTTCTCGCACTCTGAAGTGTCTCTTATTTGACCATTAATTCTAAGCTATTCCTGTGCACTACCTTGGCTTTTTATTATTCTAAATAAATTTAAAAATCACTTGTCGCCATTTATTTAATACCAACTTTAATATTTTTTTAATAGTCAAGAGTTGAAATAATAGAAAATGGAAGTACTGCCATCTTTACTGCAGAGATCCTATTTGAAAAAGACAAATATATATTTTGCAATTCCAGCAACATGGAACAACATTCTCTATACTAAGGTTCATAGTTATTTATTTACCCAATGGCTTATTTACCCAATATCTATATGTTTCTTGTAATTGTTTTTTTCCATACATCTACTATATTTATGTCTCCAAATTCTGTTTTATTCCGTTTATTTAAGCTGCATTCTGTCATTCTACCATATGCTAAGATTAGTTTTTCTACTTCCATTAAAGAAATGAAGGGATAATCCAGAATTAATATTATATTATCTGCATATAGCTTGATTTTCTCCTCTTTGTCTTAAATTTTCATTCCATGTATATTATCATCGTATCTTAAATTGATTGCCATGGATTCTACAGCCAACACAGATACAAAGTGGTGATAAAGGGCACCCCATCTGGTGCCTTTAGCTAAATTAAAGATTTTTGAAACTATCCCATTTGTATGTATTTTAGTATTTGGATCTGTATAAAAAGCTGTTACTCATGAATTAAAAGAATCCCTTAAATGAAACTTTCTCAAAGAAAAGTGCCATTCAATATTATCAAAGGCTTTCTCCGCACCCAAAAGAAGCAAGTTTCTTGTTTAATATTACAAGTGTGATCTAAGATATGTATGATCTTATGAATATTATTGTTCATCCTTCAACCTCCCAAAAGCTAGATTGATCCAAGTTTATAAATGTACCAATTATAGTATTCAAACCTTTTGCTAAGATTCCAGTAAAAATCTTGTAATCGATATGCTTGTAACTGATGAAGAATCCTCAACTTCTTAGGGAATGGCAACTGTATATACTTCTTTTCATGATTCTGGAATTCTCTTCCTTTCCATAATTAAATTTATTGTTTTAGCTAAAGGTTTTGCTAACAATGAAGAACTCTAGCCCAATGGTTGCCATCAATTTGATTTGAACTGATTTTATAATGAAATGATTTTAGAATGCTGTATTATTTTACTGTTGTTAGCCGCTCTGAGCCCGGCTTTGGCTGGGGAGGGCGGGATATAAATAAATTTTATTATTTTTATTATTTTTATTATTATTATTATTATTATTATTATTATTATAGCTTTTGTATATATATGAATAGATAGAGATAGGGATAGATAGATAGGTAGATAGATAGAAGATAGATAGAAGATAGATAGACGATAGATATATTTCTGTAAACACATTTTGGAGCTTTACTTAAAATAAAAACAAAAATCATTGTGTCTTATATTTCAGTCCCTGAAATCTGTTGATTTAAGCAGAGTCTGTCGTGCCCAACGGAAGGATGAGAATACGTGCTGCATACTCTTTATTGCTTTATTTACAGTTCAAAGCTGGTATATTACAGAAAGACATCTTGCCTCTGCAGGAGCAGAAAAATGCATCCTCTCTCCTCAACAGCTTGGAGAGAATCACACAGTGAAAAACAGGAAACCAGTGTACGTCACATCCAGTCTCCCTTTCCCGTGAGAAACTCCAACAGTACAGACTGTGGAATGTAAACACCTGTCTTGTGACATGCTAGCTGCCCAGTGAAGGAAAGCAGAAACCAACATCCTCCCCTGTCTGTGAACATCACTGGGCAGCGTGTTCGTACAGTATCAGTACAAACCCAACTTCTGCACATAGGTACAGTGTTGATCCCTTGATACAATCTTGGACAATACATCAGCAGGAATTTCATTACCTGGCATATAGGACACCGTTACGAGTCCCTTCTGAATACATTCCCTAGCATGCTGCAACTTTAATTGCAAGTGCTTTGTGCTTTGCTTACAACCTTCAGACTTCAGCAAAGCCAAACATGCTTTGTTGTCCTGGTAAACCTGGATTGGACATTTGACAGGAATTTTCATATCTTTGCACAATTGTACTAACCATTCACAATCCTTAAGTGAATAAGACAGTGCATTCAGTTCAGCTTCACAAGTACTTAAGCTAACTGTTGTTTGCTTCTTGCATGACCAATCAAACAGACCCTGATTGTACATGTAGCAAACTCCAGACGTACTTTTCCTGTCTGTAGTGTCACTTCCAAAACTTGCATCTGCAAATATCTCAAGACCACCAGACTTCTGATTGTTAAATCTCAGTCTGTAATGCATAGTGCCTTTCAAATACCGCGCTATGCGTTTCAGAGCTTTCCAATCCTTGACACTAGGATTGTTGACTTGTCTGCTTAGCAAATTACAGCTAACAGCAATGTCTGGTCTTGAACATCTGGCAATGAAGTTTAGCTTGCCTAGCACACTCCTGTACAGTGTAGTGTCAGAAAATGCTTCTTCAGTGTCATCTACCTGATAACCTGTTGTCATCGGTGTGTCTACAGGGTTAGCATCCATCAGATTTAGTTTGCTTAACACATCAGCAATTTTCCGTGACTGGTGTACTAGAATGTTACCATCTTGATCTCTCTCTATTTCCAGAGATAGGTAGTTGTTTACCTCACCAAGATCTTTCATGTCAAAGTGCTCTTTCAGTTGAGCTAGGGCGCTATTGTACATTGCAACATCTTTCCAAAAGAATAATAAATCATCAACATAAAACAAACAGTACAGTTTCTTTTGCCCCTCCTCTTTGACAAATACACATGGATCAGCTTTCCTTGCTGAAAACCTAGAGAAAACAATACTTCAGTGAGTTTTGTGTGCCAACACCGTGCACTTTGTTTGAGACCATAAAGGGATTTCTTCAGAGCACAAACAAATCCCTGTTTTACCTGTACGCCATCAGGTGGAAGCATATAAAGTGATTCATCTAGAGATCCGTACAGAAAAGCTGTATTAATATCATGGTGACTAATGTGTAGATTTTCCTCTGCAGCTAGCTTGAGCATAAGCCTAATGCTTTCATATCTCACTGTGGGTGAATAGGTCTCGTGATAGTCTTCACCTGGTACCTGTGCAAAACCTCTGGCTACCAATCTGGCTTTGTGTCTGACTATCTTGCCATTTTGATCTGTCTTCGCTTTGAAGACCCATTTGCTTCCAAGCAGTTTCATTCCTGGAACTACTGGAACTAGCTCCCATGTTTTGTTCCTTTCTAAGGAATCAAGCTCAGCCTTCATGGCATTTAACCATGGCTCAGCTTCCTTTGAATCCAAACCCTGGATTTCTTGGAAACTTGAAGGTTCAAATACCTTCTTGGAGCTTTTAACAGCTGTTACTGCTATCGTGGCAAACTCATCAGCAAATCTCTTTGGAGGTTTGCCTTTTGTGGCTCTCTGTGACCTACGAATTAGCCTTAAGTCTTCAACACTCTCCTCTTCCTTCTTAGGAGAAAAACGACCTATTGTGAACAATGGTTCCTCCAATTCTTGATCAGAGCTTTCAGAGGGTCGCATAGAGGCTTTCGCACTCTTGAAATCCTCTGAATCACCCGATTCAGTTTCAGATTCAGACTCAGAACCTTCATCAGTGGGTGTGGGCTGTTGTGGTTGCTTTTGACTATCCTCAGTCTCATCACCGTCATCAGGATAACATTGGAAAATTACCACATTCTCCCCCCACTTTGCATTGTACTCGACACTTCTCGTGAGCTTAATTGTCTTAGAGTCAGTCATCATTATTCTGTAAGACCCTTTCTGATAACCTAGAAAGATACCATGCAATCCACGCTTGTCTAACTTGGAGTTTTGTGGTGAGCGAACCCACATGTCAGAACCAAAAATCTTCATGTGTTTGATGTATGGCTTCTTGCCAAACATCTTCTCATAGAGGTACAACCAAGCGCTGAAGATAACCTGCGATTGTAACTGTAAACAAAACACGAGAGAGATTCGGCCCAATAACTCTCTGGAAGATTGGCATCATGCAGCAAGGTCTTTAACCCTTGAAGCAATGTCTGATTTGCCCGTTCCGCAAGTCCATTCTGCCATGGCGAGCGAGGACTAGACAAATCGTGTTGAATTCCTTTCTCAGTCAGAAAAGCTTCAAACTGCTGAGAAGTGAATTCCCCGCGATCACTGAAAAGAGTCTTTATCTTCTTACCATGCACATTTTCCAACCAAGCACAGAATTCCTTGAACCTAGGAAAAGCCTCCGATTTCTGCTTGAGATTGTACACAAAAATATATCTAGAAAATGCATCAATGAGAACCATGAAGTATCTATTTCCACCCAAAGAGGGCGCTAGTGGTCCAACCAAATCAGCATGAACAACCTGGTATGGTTCTGTAGCTTTCCTACTAGACACCTTACCTTTCGCAGCCATTTTCACCTTGTTTGCTGCGCATGCTTTGCACTTCATGTGGTACCTGCAGGGTTTAATAGTCATACCTTCAACCAAGGCAGGCATTTTAGATACTGCCTCAAAATGCAAATGACCAAATTTGCGATGAAAATCGTGAATACATTCTGCATGCAAACTTTTGTTAGAACCTGCAATGCAACAAGTGTCATCCTGCTCCACATCATCATAATACAAAACAAACAAACGATCAACATATTCTGCATGCAATACATAATCATTTTTCTTTGTGATGATGCACTTCTTGTTCTTGAAGGAAACGTCAATGTTCCGCTCATTCAGCTGTCCAACGCTGAGCAGATTATGTTTGGCGTCTGGCACGTAAAGCACATTCTGTATCGATAAGTCCAAACTGTGAAGAACAACAGTTCCGTAGCCTTTACTGGGAATAGTGTGGTCATCCGCCTGGTGAATCGCACCTTCCTGCGGTGTAAAAGACACAAACAGTTTCTTATCGTTGCACATGTGGTGGGTGGCCGCTGAATCAACAACGAAGAAAGATCTAGACGTCTTCTGGACCTCTGCAACCTTTGGAGTGAAGCGTGAAACCATAGCCTTGTGCTGCGTTGTCCTAGACACCGGACCTTTGCCTTTGCCTCGGCCTTTTCCGCGTGATGAGCTTCGCTGCGCTGCTCTGTCTTGGCCCTGGGATGTCTGCATTCCCTCTTCATATGGCCTAGACGTCCACATGAGTAGCATTTCACTGCCTTCAAAGCTTTGGCGCCATCTGGTGGTTCCACTGCACTATGGGATGACGTCTGTGAAGACTCCCCCTTGCCCATGCAGCTAGCACCCCGGCGATCTGCTTCATTTAAAATCACGGCAGTAACAAAGTCCACTGTCAGCTGAGCAGTTGGTTGCACAGCAATCTGGGTTGCAACAGACTCCCAACCTGAACCCAAAGATTGTAGTATCATGAAAGAATACACAGCCTCTGGAAAGTTGAGTCCTCTCTGTTGCAGCTCATGTCTCAGATTTTGCATCTCCATTAGATGTAAACGCACATCTCCACCTTCAGCAAGAGCCATATTATGCAGCTTGTTAAAATAAAACATAGTGGATCCAGCTTCTGTCCTTAAGTGAGCCTCTCTCAGAGCGTCCCAAATTTCTCTGGCTGAGGTCTTATCACGCAATAGACAGAGCTCTTCTGGGGATACTATCAATGTAAGAGTTCCCTTGCTTTGGAATCCTTAGCTTCCCATGCATCTGTAACTGGAACTGGGGGTTCCTGTAATCACCTCAAACAAACCCTCTTTCCGCAGAATTGCCTCTGCATACTGAACCCAGTCGCTATAATTTTTCTTGTTGAGCTTAGGAATCCCACAAGCATCCTGAAGGGCCATCATGACTCTGGCATTAGCCTTCAGCGTCATATCTGCTGCTTTAAATCTTGCTGCGTCACTGCTGCAGCTGCTTTATTACAAAGGCACACTTAAAAGTTACTTTCGATTTCCCCAGCATAGTGACTTGTGCCTGGGAGCCTTTTGCCTATTTGCAAAACCGGCTTTAAAAGTTCAAAGTCCAGCCATAAAGCCATTATCTTGAAGCTGGCAGGCTGCCCGGAGCAGTAGCACATACCTCATCAATCACTTCTACGCGCAGAGCAGATTCCTTTCCGATCCGTCCCTCTGCATTCCGATCTGCCGGCACTCCGATTCGACCTCTGGAGCCCCATAACCACGTGTTGATTTAAGCAGAGTCTGTCGTGCCCAACGGAAGGATGAGAATACGTGCTGCATACTCTTTATTGCTTTATTTACAGTTCAAAGCTGGTATATTACAGAAAGACATCTTGCCTCTGCAGGAGCAGAAAATGCATCCTCTCTCCTCAACAGCTTGGAGAGAATCACACAGTGAAAAACAGGAAACCAGTGTACGTCACATCCAGTCTCCCTTTCCCGTGAGAAACTCCAACAGTACAGACTGTGGAATGTAAACACCTGTCTTGTGACATGCTAGCTGCACAGTGAAGGAAAGCAGAAACCAACAAAATCAGCAGCTCTAAATTAAGTTTATCTGTTAAAGTAAAATTTGGGATTTTTATGTCTGAAAGAGAAGCTGAGCTATATCCCTTGGTTCAGTTTTGTTTAGTACAGTTTTGATTAGATATCAAGGAAATAAACAAATACCTGACTTTTAGAAGACATCTGAAAGCAACCCTGGATTAGGAAATTTTTATTGTCTAATGTTTTACCATTTTTATGTGCTGTAAGCCACCCAGAGTGGCTGGGGAAACCGTGCCAGATGGGTGGGATATAAATAATAAAATTATTATTATTATTATTATTATTATTATTATTGTTATTATTGATATATATTTAAAACCCACTTGCAATTTCATCATTAGATGTTGTAAATCCTCCCTCTTTCTTTACAGGGGGTGTCAAATACTTTACTGTCCCTTATTTAGATGAGGAGCAAACAGTTTTCCATCTTCATTTCCCCTTCAAATAAAACTTACATGTACAGTGGTGCCTCGCAAGACGAAATTAATTCGTTCCGCAAGTCTCTTCGTCTTGCGAGTTTTTCGTCTTGCGATGCACGGTTTCCCATAGGAATGCATTGAAAATCAATTAATGCGTTCCTAGGGAAACCGCTTCAGACCAGGTCCGGGGACAGTCTGTCCCCGGACCTCTTCTGAAGGCTGGGGGGCAAGGGCTTTTCTTCCCACCCCCAGCATTTTAAAACCCCGGGACAGCGGAGGACTTCTCCGCTGTCCGGGCGATCTTAAAATGCTGGCGGGCGGCATTTTAATATCACCCCGGGACAGCGGAGGACTTCTCCGCTGTCCGGGGCAATTTAAAGCCCCTGGGAAGGCAGGCAGGGGGACAAAGACTTTTGCCCCCGCCAGCCTTCAGAAGAGGTCCTGGACCTCTTCTGAAGGCGGGCGGGGGCGAAAGTCTTTGCTCCCCGCCTTCAAAAGCCCTCCGGGACAGGCAGGCAGGGGAGCAAAGACTTCGCCCCCGCCCGCCTTCAGAAGGTCTTCCCTCCCCCCGCCCGGCTCGGCGGGAGGTGTTCCCTCCCCCGCCCGGCTCGGAGCACCGTTCCGAGCCGGGCGGCGGCGGAGGTGTTCCCTCCCCCGCCCGGCTCGGAGCACCGTCCGGGCCGGGCGGCGGCGGCAGGTGTTCCCTCCCCCGCCCGGCTCGGAGCACTGTTCCGAAGCCGGGCGGCGGGGAGGTCTTCCCTCCCCACCGCCCGGCTCGGAGCACCGTTCCGAGCCGGGCAGAGGCGGGAGGTCTTCCTCCCCCCGCCCGGCCTCGGAGCACCGTCCCGAGCCGGGCGGCGGCGGCAGGTGTTCCCTCCCCGCCCGGCTCGGAGCACCGTTCCGAGCCGGGCGGCGGGGAGGTCTTCCCTCCCCGCCCGGCTCGGAGCACCGCTCCGGGCCGGGCAGAGGCGGAGGTCTTCCCTCCCCCGCCCGGCCCGGAGCACCGTTCCGGCCGGGCGGCGGCGGCAGGTGTTCCCTCCCCCGCCCGGCCTCGGAGCACCGTCCCGAGCCGGGCGGCGGCGGCAGGTGTTCCCTCCCCCGCCCGGCTCGGAGCACCGCTCCGAGCCGGGCAGAGGCGGAGGTCTTCCTCCCCCCGCCCGGCTTCGGAGCACCGTTCCGGGCCGGGCGGCGGCGGCAGGTGTTCCCTCCCCGCCCGGCTCGGAGCACCGTCCGGCCGGGCGGCGGCGGCAGGTGTTCCCTCCCCCGCCCGGCTCGGGAGGAGCCTTCCGAGCCCGGCGGCGGCGGGAGGAGGTGTCCCCGCCCCGCCACCAGGCTTCGGAGGAGGTCCGAGGACAGTGGGAAGACGCGCTGCGCTTCCCGCTGTCCCTGAGATTTCCCTATGGGCTGTCGTCTTGCGAAGCAAGCCCATAGGGAAATTCGTTTTGCGAAGCGCCTCCAAAACGGAAAACCCTTTCGTCTAGCGGGTTTTCCGTCTTGCGAGGCGTTCGTCTTGCGGGGTACCACTGTATTTAGCAAAGCTTTTACACATATTTAGTTTGTTTAAGTTACTACTTAACCCGGCTTCTTTTGTTTCGTTACCAATTTGGTAATTTCCTCTATTAAATTTGTTCTATTCCTTTCCCAAATTCTTATAAATCTGCTCCTAATGCTGTCAACTGATCTGTAATGAATGTTTTACTTGCACCCCAAACTGTTGTTGAAGAGAGCCTGTCAGATTCATTTAAAAGAAACAAATTCATCAATTCTTCTTGGCATTTGTTCACTACTTCTGAATTTTTAAAGGAGAAAATCATCTGACCTCCATTGAACACATACACACACACACACACACACACACACACACACACACCATTTCTATGTCTCCCTAATACTATGAGGTTATGATTTGCATAGAGATTTGTCTCTGCTTTTATACTATACAACTCTTTATATTATATTAGGGGTCATTTATAGTATATCATTGCTATTCTTAAACGTAATGAATGTGAGGTGGAATAAAATAAATAGTCCCTTTGATCTTTATAATAGTTTACATAAGGACTTTCATGTTGGTTCCCACAATACCTGCTAATTTCCCAGATTGTTCATTTCTACTAGTAAGATCAATCTTATTTATTGATTTCTCACCCTTGGGATCATATAATATCACTTCTAGAAATAATCAATATTATATTAATCAATATTCTATCTATCAGTATTAGAAACACACACTGATTTCAATATCATTTCTCCCACTGGACCTGATAAATTTAAAAAGAATATTTCCACATGCCATTCATTCAAATACACTGACATCCCTCTAGCCCTTTTCATACCACATGCTATGTACCATAATCCAAGAAATCAATTTTTAATAAGTTCTCACATTTTAATATGAGTTTCTTGTAAGCAAATTACACCTGCTTTTTCCTTTTTTAAATTTAAATTCTTTTCTTTATGTCACATTATTGATATATTGAACACTAGTAGTAATTGTCTTCCTACTCCTGGCTCTGGTTGGTAGTCCTCAAGATTCTAATAAAACAAAGCTGAAAATTTGCCAGCCCCTGGGCTAAGGAACTGGATTACAAGAGATAAAAAGTGGAAGAAAGATAGATTGTAAAAAAGTTAGTGTGGGGGGACTTTGCTTTGAGTGACCGACATATTCTCTTTGCATCTGTCACACGTCTGCTAATCAGGGGTGTCAGCGAGAACAACAGATTGTCACATGTCTCACACCTTGAAAAGAGCAGCAAGGGCACTAGTGAATTGTGGGTAAGGGATTCTCTTCAGCACAGCACCTGCCAAGGGGCTTCATTTGACCCAACCACCTCCCTCCAGCGTTTTCATTCTGGCTTGCTGTCAGGCCTTTGGAACTCTTTGACTGAGAAGTAACCGATGCCTTTATTACACATGCCGGTGTTGTGCAATCGTTCATATTCATTTTCATTCTCTTTCTGTAGAAGCAGGAAATCACCTTTCATCCTTTCCTCCAAAGATATTTCAAAACCAGCCCTTGGGATTGTTGGCTGCCTGAAACTGACGGGCATTAATTGCGCCTGTTTTGTCAGGCGAGAAAATTAGAGCCTGCAGACCTGGGAGCAGCATGCCATTGTCCTTGTATGGAGTCTGCTGGCTTTCTGACATGTTTGCCTTTATCCTGCCTGCCAATCCTAGAGCCAAAGAAAGCCCTAGCCTTTGGTGTCAAACTCAAAGCCCTTCTTCCTCCTGCTATGCAGATGTTTCCAACTTCTGAGACATCATGAAGGAGAATGAAAAAGCCATGGGGAAACTATTCAGGCAGAAATTTGAATATTTTCGACACTCTCCAGTGTGTCCTCCATTGAGTATGGTCTTTAGTGCAGTTCTTCTGTTCTGGACAAACCAGTTTTGCCACTGAGTTATCCCCTTGGGGGCATCCAGCATTTGTTCCAGGTACATATGCTGCTCTCCAGCATGCTGTCTGGATATGTCCTTGTACTCATATCCACCTGAAACACTGAACCTTTTGGAGTCCTACATTAATGTTATGAGTCAGCTAAATCTGCACTATCCTCTTCTGTGAGTCATCCACTGCCGGGGGCACTGATTGGCTGGGGCACAAGAACAAAAGAAGAGCCCTGCAGCTGGATAAGGCCAGTGGCCTATCTAGTCCAATATCCTGTTCTCACAATGGCCAATCAGGTTCCTATGGGAAACCCACAAGCAGGATTCGAGCACAAGAGCACTTGCCCATACTGTGGTCTCCAGCAACTGGTATTAAGACGCATTGCTGCCTCCAGCTGTGGAAGCAGAGCAGAGCCATCATGGCTAGTAGTAACTGATAGCCCTCTCCTCCATGAATTCATCTTGATCTCTTTGAAAGTCATCTAGGTTGGTTGCCATCACTGCCTCCTGAGTTGCATGAAGAAGTACTTTCTTCTGTCTGTCCTCCTGACTCTTCCAACATTCAGCTTCATTGGATGTCCACCGCTTTTCCCACCCCAGGTTCAGCTGTATTCCTCAAATAGCCTCCAGTGGAACACATTTCCAGATACAGTCAAGCCTCAGCTCCCGAACACCTCCATTTTGGAACATTTCAGCTCCTGAACAACAAAAACCCGGAAGTAACTGCTCTGGTTTTCAAACGATTTTTGGAAACCGAACAGCTTCCAGGGCGTTTTCTTCTTTTTTCTCTATTGAGTTTGCCGTCCGCCCTTTGATCCTCAGTTGCTGAATGTTTCGGAAGTCGAATGGTCTTCCGGAATGGATTTTGATTGACAGCCAAGGTTTGACTGTATCCTCAACCATCCACTGGAATTTTCAAAAGATGTGGACTTGATTGCATCTCCTTGTTAGCAACAAGTGCATATAACTTCTATTTCCATGGATTGTTCAGCATGATATATTTGTGGGCTGGGAGAAGAAATGTGGGTGGCGAATCTATGCACTACATATTAAGCAGTAGCACTGTTTCTGAAGAATAGAGTCAGTTCTTTGTTAATTATCTCAGAACAATCTGGTGTTTATCTAATATTTTAAAAGTGTCAGGGGGACAAATGCAGGAAGGGAAAATTGCAAGACAGAATATTTACTCACGCAGAAGGCCAAATCTTAGTTTCTTGACTGGTGGGAATAACTTAATTGGCTGCAGATATTAATGTGATTGCCAACATAACTGTGGTGATATAGGGGGCAGAGCTGGCAATGCTTAGGTTCTGAGAATTCTAAACTTAACTAGCAAAACAAGCATTGTCAATCAGAGACCAGAAGACTCTGCAAATCAATGGAATGGCTGTGTCTGTGGGTTGGCATCTCTGCCATCAGACAGCCCCCGTGCCCTTCTGCACTTCCTGCTGGGCTACATTTTCATGTGCAGTATCCACACTTGCAACCCCATCACCAATGGCTATCTGAAGATGCATTGAAGTATTATGAGAAAAGGTCCGAAAAACAAGATTTATGGAACTGGGCATGTTTAGCTTGGAAAAGAAAAGACTGAGAGGTGATATTATAGCCATCTTCAAATGAAGATGGAGCAAGCTTGTTTTCTGCTGCTCCAGAGGAAATTCCAACTAAACATTAGGAAGACATTATTGACAATAAGAGTTGTTCCGCAGTGGAACAGATTCCTTTGGAAGGTAATGGATTCTCCTTCATTGGAGGTTGTTTTTAGCAGAGGTTGGACGGCCATCTGTCAGGGATTCTGCAGCTTTGATTCCTGCAGAGCAGGGGGTGGGACCAGATGACTCTGGGAGTCCCTTCCAACTCTACAATTCTCTTATTCTACATTCCAGGAAGAGTTTTACCATCTTCACTCTTTGCATGCTATCTGTGGTGTTGCCAAGTCACACCTGGCCTCTACTTCCCTCTGTCCCATGCTCTGCTTCCTGCTTGGAACTGATCCCCTCTGAGTCCTGCCAAGGCTTACCTTCCAGGTAAGTCTTATAAATGTCATGCACAGTCCTAATGCAAACCTTTCTCCTTGGCTGTGAGATACAGCCACTGTCCTGTATTTGAAACTTCCCTCTGTCTTTTTCACTGTAATCCATAAGTAGTGAAACATGCTCCCCCATAAAAGGCAGAAAAGTGAATTTCCACAATTTTGATTTCTTGTTAGAGGCACAAATACCTTAGGTACACAAGGGGGTTAATCTGCTTGAAATACCCCCCAAAATCCAGTTCCAGGGCTCCTCCTCCTCCTCCTCTTCCTTTGTCCCCCACAGGTTTTAAGAAAGAAAACTTCCATCTGTTTTCTTGACTACAAGCCCCAGGATGGGATTCTGCTCAACACAGCAGATGGGAAACGACATGTAAATTTGCAGGGTTGAGCTAACAAAACTCGCAACACTGTAATCTTTATAGGGGAAGGAGTTTGTGTGAATTCTCTGCTTCATTGATCTTGTTGAGGCCTGTTCATCACTGATGCCACCCTGACTGACATGGGTTCTAGTGAATAGGGAACAACACTTTGGGCTGTAGATCTAGACATTTTCACTGTGTCTCATGACACCTTGGTGATAATACATTAGAATTCTGTCTATATAATTTTTAAATGGATAGGGTACCCTTTTTGTAGGCTTTCATCAGGTCCCAGGTTCAATCCATCTAGTCTCCATTTAAAGGAATCACTGGTAGTGCAACAGCCACCATCTTGGAGAGGCAGTAACCGTCAGATAGAGACAAACCAGGGCTCGACAGACCAATGATCTGACTCAGTGTAAGGTGGCTGCATGCCCATTCTCAAATCTTGGGGTGGGGGACAGAGCTTAGGACTAGAAGTACCAAATCCAAATTCCATCTTCTACAGACTAAAAGATCTTGGGTGGCAAAGTGGAGAAATACCTTGGAAAACCACTGCCATTTGGAGTAGACCAGCTGTGCTGGACCCGGGGGGGTGTTACTGAGAGGCGTGGTCAAAGTCCGGTCCTGGGTCGAGGGTCTGGAGACTGTCCACCAAGGGCGAAGCAGGGTCCAAAGCAAGAAGCCGGGCGTGGTCGGGAACTCCGGAAGAACAGGTCTGGGTGCTGGCAGAAACAGGTTTCCAACAACGTTGCTCCCGCAACCTGGGACTGGGCTGACTGGCCTTTATCTCCTCTGAGGCCAGGGGCAGTCCTGGCCCACAGGTGACCCACCTCTCCTGGCCTTAAGGCGAGCACTCCTCCTGAGAGAACTTAGTTCCCTCCACCTCTCTGCCCTGAGCCTCTGCAGCTCAGGACAGGCTGGAGGGTAACTGGACCCATGGGCAGCTTCACCTTCCCCTGACAGGGCTGGGAGAGGTGCACCTGCAGGCAATGGGTCCTCAATCACCTCCGGAGCCAGAGTGGCTACATCTGGTGTCTGCTCCTGAGGATCCGGCACAGGTGCAGGCCCTTCAGATTCAAGCCCCTGCCACGGCTCAGCCAGCCCTGGAGGCGGGGACCCCTGTGCAAGCTGGGACTACTCAGGTTCAGCTTCTGAATCAGATTCCCAGGCCATCACACCAGCCTTTGCCAACCTGGTGCCCTCCAGAGGTTCCAGACTACAGCTCCCAGCACCTCTAACTTGCATGGCTGATGGACAAACCAGGGCAGTGTACAAGTGAAAGTATGGATGAGCCCTAAGACTGATGTATTAACAGGCAAGTCCTGACATCAGTAATGATGTGCAATATCACCAACTGAGCTTGCTCACAACTTGCTCTCCATGGATTCCCCCCTTGCCACACATTTCCATGGTCTTTCACTCTCAAATCAAACGGGGGGATGGAGCACCTGTTTTGTTGTTGTTGTTGTTTAGTCATGTCCGACTCTTCGTGACCCCATGGACCAGAGCACGCCAGGCACTCCTGTCCTCCACTGCCTCCCACAGTTTGGTCAAACTCATGTTAGTAGCTTCAAGAACACTGTCCAACCATCTCGTCCTTTGCCATCCCCTTCTCCTTGTGCCCTCAATCTTTCCCAACATCAGGGTCTTTTCCAGGGAGTCTTCTCTTCTCATGAGGTGGTCAAAGTATTGGAGCCTCAGCTTCAGCATCTGTCCTTCCAGTGAGCACTCCGGGCTGATTTCCTTCAGAATGGATAGGTTTGATCTTCTTGCAGTCCATGGGACTCTCAAGAGCACCAGAATTCAAAAGCACAATTCTTCGGCCATCAGCCTTCTTTATGGTCCAGCTTTCACTTCCATACATCACTACTGGGAAAACCATAGCTTTAACTATACGGACCTTTGTCAGCAAGGTGATGTCTCTGCTTTTTAAGATGCTGTCTAGGTTTGTCATTGCTTTTCTCCCAAGAAGCAGGCGTCTTTTAATTTCGTGACTGCTGTCACCATCTGCAGTGATCATGGGACCCACGAAAAGTAAAATCTCTCACTGCCTCCATTTCTTCCCCTTCTGTTTGCCAGGAGGTGATGGGACCAGATGGGACCAGATGGGCCATGATCTTAGTTTTTTTGATGTTGAGCTTCAGACCATATTTTGTGCTCTCCTCTTTCACCCTCATCTAAAGGTTTTTTAATTCCTCCTCACTTTCTGCCATCAAGGCTGTGTCATCTGCGTATCTGAGGTTGTTGATATTTCTTTCGGCAATCTTAATTCCAGTTTGGGATTCATCCAGTCCAGCCTTTCGCATCATGAATTCTGCATATAAGTTACATAAGCAGGGATACAATATACAGCCTTGTTGTGCTCTTTTCCCAATTTTGAACCAATCAGTTGTTCCATATCCAGTTCTAACTGTAGCTTCTTGTCCCACATAGAGATTTCTCAGGAGACAGATGAGGTGATCAGGCACTCCCATTTCTTTAAGAACTTGCCATAGTTTGCTGTGGTTGACACAGTTAAATGCTTTTGTGTAGTTAATGAAGCAGAAGTAGATGTTTTTTCTGGAACTCTCTAGCTTTCTTCATAATCCATCACATGTTTGCAATTTGGTCTCTGGTTCCTCTGCCCCTTTGAAATCCAGCTTGCACTTATGGGAGTTCTTGGTTCAGATACTGCTTAAGCCTGCCTTGTAGAATTTTAAGCATAACCTTGCTAGCATGTGAAATGAGTGCAGTAGTTGGAGCATTCTTTGGCACTGCCCTTCTTTGGGAGCAAGATGTAGACTGATCTTCTCCAATCCTCTGGCCACTGCTGAGTTTTCCAAACTTGCTGGCATATTGAGTGTAGCACCTTAACAGCATTATCTTTTAAAAAATTTAATAGTTCAGCTGGAATATCATCACTTCCACTGTCCTTGTTATTAGCAGTGCTTTCTAAGGCCCATTTGACTTCACTCTCCAGGATGTCTGGCTCAAGGTCAACAACCACGCTACCTGGGGTGTACGAGACATCCATATCTTTCTGGTATAATTCCTCTGTGTATTCTTGCCACCTCTTCTTGATGTCTTCTGCTTCTGTTAGGTCCTTAGCACTTTTGTCCTTTATTATGGTAATCTTTGTACGAAAAGTTCCTTTCATATCTCTAATTTTCTTGAACAGATCTCTGGTTTTTCCCATTCTGTTGTTTTCCTCTGTTTCTTTGTATTGCTCGGCGGGTGAAGGCCCTCTTGTATCTCCTTGCTATTTTTCAGAAATCTGCATTCAATTTCCTGTATCTTTCACTATCTCCCTCGCATTTTGCTTGCCTTCCCCCGCTATTTGTAAGGCCTCGTTGGACAGCCACTTTGCTTTCTTGCATTTCCTTTTCATTGGGATGGTTTTTGTTGCTGCCTCCTGTATAATGTTACACGCCGCCATCCATAGTTCTTCAGGCACTCTGTCCACCAAATCTAAAGGTGGCTGTGCTTTGAAGGAAGCAGGGGCAAATTGCTCCCCATCCACTTTTGGCCAGGGTCCGGCGGGCGATTGAGGCTGGCAGAATGGCAGTTTTTCCTAGAGCAGGAAGGAATAGCTGAGTCCCAGCAGGGTCCCTGGGGAAAGCTTGCCTCCCTTTCCCTTGGCTCTTCTCAAAGTGGAAAATGCACTTTATCCTCTGCATTTTAAGTTCTGGAAACCGAACCTTGAATTTGACAGCTGAGCTGTGTGTTTTCAGATGCTGACTTAAAACTGAAGAGTGTGAGAGTGTTCTCTCTCCCCCACCCTCCCAATTGGTTTTCAGTTCTAACATGATCCTGTTGGCTGCTCAGGTCAGCACACAAAATAGTTAGCTCATCATAAACAGCTGTGCATCCAGCACAAAAAAGCAGTGGCTCAGTTCTGGCTGATGTTTCAGTAGCAGAGGATGCACATGCAAGGAGACAAAGGCTATGTACACATTAGAACAGAGGTTCCCAAACTTTTTTGGGCCACTCTTGGTTCTATAAATTCATCATTAGGGCCCCCTACGCTACCTTAAAAATAATCATCAGAATAGCTATTTGCACAATCCACTAAGGAAGAAACACAATAAAATTCGAAACAGTAACAATTAATTAATAGAGCTGGAAAGAACCATGAGGGTCATCTAGTCCAACCCCTTGCAACGCAGGAATCTTTTGCCCAACATGAGATTCAAACCCACGCCCTTGCGATGCTGTACCAACTGAACTATCCAGGCAAAAACATGGTCTCAACAAAACTATAAACAGTTTTTCACTAATTTTTAAAGCATTTTTTTAAAGAACCCAAATCAACAGAAACATTATCGAATTAGCGAACCTGCAGATGCAAATGGAAGCAAAGCTATTTCAGCTGGAGCCATATGACTCAAATTGTTGCATTAAAACAGCAAAGGAAGGTTGAGAACAGATGTTTCTGTCTTGCTGGTGGGTTCTCACTACAAGAGTGCCACAGCCTCTTTGATTGGGGCATCCTTTCTTCAGGCGTAGATGCCTGGGAAAGTGTCTGAGTACTCATAAAGACACCCAATTCTCTCTAGAAAGGATGGCCAAATCATTTGCATATTCCATTTTTATTCTTCCTTCCACCAAGGGGCTCAGGGCTGCATTTATTGTTCTCTTCCATGGATCCACCCCACCTGCCTTTAACTCTCCCAACAACTCCATGAGGTAGGACAGGTTGTGGAATCATGATAGGTCCAAGATTGCCCAGTTAGGGTCATGGCTTCATGGAGGATTGTGTATGAGAGTCTTTCCCAAAACTTGTTAAATTATCCCTGTATTGGGTAAGCCCAACTTTACAGAGGGAAAGCATTGAGACTGGTGCTGACTAGGCTGGTATATTAAATAAGCCCCTAGAGTTTTCCCTCCCACTCACCTTGAGATCACTCTATTTGGTTTGAAGGTGGGAAACTGAGGTAATGTGGACTCATCCAGGCTTACTTGGGCCCTTTTTTCTGGGGTCCGTACTTAGCTCTTTATTAGCTTCTTATCTCTCTCTCTTTTTTCTCTCCATGGCAAAGGAGAGAAATGGGGGTTGCTTTCCTGAAGGAGGATGCCTCATGCAGGAATGTGAGGAGAAGAACCATCTTCATCCTGTACAGACTCCCATTTGCCAAAACAAGGAGTAAACAACATATTTTTAAAATAAATGCTTTTTTCGAGTGCATGCAGCTGGTTGTTCTTCACCTAAAGCTGATGATAATCTTCTGGTCTCAAGTCATTACCATATTTTCCAGAGCAAAAGGATGATCTAAGAAGGAGATTATCATTCAACAGGCAGCAGAATACTTTAAAACACACACATACACACGAACACGTGAGCATCTTTGGGCAAATACCTATTATTCAAGGGGAAGAAAAGGAGAAAGAGGCATTCTTGCCAGTGGAATTGTCTACAAACACAGTCATTTCGAGGGGGTCAACAGCTCTTTCAGACCTTTAACCCCAAATTACTGACACTCTCATGAAGGTGAACACTGGCCTTTTTTTCTGGCTGGGCCCAGCCTCATCTGAGCTGCACTGGCAATTAGCCTTTCCAGGAAGAGAGAGCTCTAATAGCTGTTTCTTCTAAGTGCCTCATCATGATGGCAAATTAACTGGCGTGTGAGAGAGCAGCATTAGCTCTAATAACATAGCTTTGATACATGCCCTGACCTTCCATCATGGGCGGGAGCGCAGGTCTCCAACCAGAGTTTGCTGCTGCTGCAGCCCGGTCTCAAGGAGGCAATTGGGGACGCAAACAGGCCACGGATTCCCAGAGTCCTTTTCTGCATGGCTGAGAGCAACAACAACTTCACCCAGTCTGTGTCCATAGTACTCACCAACATTTTTAATCTTTTATGTTGCGAATCAACCCTGAACCTTTTTTTGTATGTGGTATCTAGCAAAGCAGCATGACTCTATATGGTTGCTCTATGGGCAGAAAGGAAGGAGATCCTATTTCATAAATCCACAGCACAGCACCAAGCTATGGAAGGGCTGCTAGAGGCTCTGCTCCTGTAGTTCCTTATCTGTCATGGACTCCTACACACCCAGAGCATAGTAAAAACCTGAGAGATGACTCAGGGCAGAGGAAAGGTGGCAATTTCTCAGGGACATAACGTACAGAACATTTCAAGCTTCGTGGGTTAAAAAAAGGATATTGTTTTCCCCTGAAAGGTGATGGAGTAATGGGTCATAATTGTGCCTACTAGCCCATCTCCAGGAGGAAGGCCACTTCACTTTATATCAGCTGCAGCTCCCATTTATCAAGGGCAGTTCATGGGAAAGCAGCTTAGACTAATTCAGCAAGGAATAAATGGAGGGGTGGAATTGGGAACTGAACTGGCTGCCCTCTCAGTCATAGAACTGTAGAGTTGGAAGGGACCCAACCCCCCTGGAATGCAGGAAGCATGGGTAAAGATGGCCATCCAACCTCTGTTTAAAAAGAGTCCATCAATGTCCAAGGTATTTCTAGCTGGATTCCTTGTGCCTCTCTCACTGGCTGTTCAAGCCTTGGCCTCTTTCAAGAGCACACTGAGTGGCAAGGAGGACCTGCAGAATCAGCATTCTCCGATCCAAGTTTTTCAAGGGAAAATTGAAGCCATACTTCACCAGATCCAGTGCATTGATTCCGGCTACAAGAGCCCTTGTAAATAACCTCTTTGAGAGGAAGTATCAAGTGTTTTCTCCTCCAAGCCAGGCGCAAGCTAGGAGAAGGTCGCCCCCCCCTCCAACCCCGAGCTCTTCCAGACTGCAGGAGTAAGCATGTTACTTCTCCTTCATAGTTGCACTTAAGATGCTCATCAGATCAAAGGATGCTATGGCTGCATTTGCATCAATGCACCTTCTAAGCAACTTCAGGTTTTTTTCCTTCTTCTCAAGCTGTTGTTTCCCTGCTGTCCCCATGTAGTATAGAACATGCCTCCTGTCCTTTACTTCCTCCTCCCATAAAGATCCTGGCATTATTGACAGTTGCTGGTTGCCCTGGAAGTAAAGTACAGTAGAGGCTCCCCATTCCCCATAGTCCCACATACTGTGCTTCCTTGTTCAACCCCAATGCCATTATAATGAGGCTCCTTTTTGGAGTTGGACATCTGAATAATATCTCAGCCCTGAGTGAGCAGGATGGTCTTTTTAAGCACTAGGACAACTAATGACATTAGAGTAACTCTTAGCTGCTGAATTGCTGGAAACAAACGTATCTTAATGCATGTCTTTTTCATTCAGATCAAAAGTTCCTAACCCCATTCCTATTTACAGGACCTAAGAGTTTGAATTATTTTAAAATCTTTTTTGATGAGATAAAATTCTGATGAGATAATTCTGAAATTTGATACCTCTGCCACATCAGACACTTTTCTCTCTGCCCTGCATATTATTGTGGGTTTGAAGGTCAATCTGGATGATGCCCTGAGACCCTTCCAGTACTTGGGGTCCTGCACCCAGTGAGGATTAGAATTTAGCAGATGAGGTTGCTGAACTGGTCAAAGAAGCATGTCTGTAAAACAATGACCTCAGCTGGCCAACTGAGTGCCCTCATTGGCATTGCAAAAGAATGAGCTAGGTTGCTAGAGCCACAACTAAGTGACAATGCCCTGAGGCTGATAGTGGGCCTTTCCACTACCCCCTTCACCTGGTTACTAGATAGGAGAACAAAAGGGAGAGTGTGTGAGAATTAGCTGGAAAGAGGCTAGAAGCTGGAGACACAGAGACATGCTTGCTCTGTGCTGGATCCAAGACTGTGACTAATCTGTTGAGATGCTAATGGTATGAGCCCCTCCATCTTATGCTCAGGTTGTATATATGTGTAAATACACCATGTATTCTAAAGACACCACAGTCTCCACTGACCTTCATTCCAAAGAAACCAAACCTGGGGAAACATCTGGAACCCCTGGATTATCCCACTGCTCCAAGATTGGGGTGGCATGCAACAATATGCCTCTGAATAAAGATTCAAGATTTCCCTTTGCTCACCTCTCACTGTTAAAATGGTGGCATTCTCCTGCTCCTCTCTGTTTTCAAGCAAAATGCTGCAATTCCAGCTGTGGGACTAGAGACGGAATGGCGCTTCCATCCAAGAGGGAAAATGTCAAATTGGCCAGCAAATCCCCAGAGTGATTAGCTATGCTAAGAGGACATTTTGATGCATGGAAATTACCCAATTTTTGCACCGCTTTCCCACCCCATTGCTGTAGGTGATACATAATGTTTGCTTTTAAAGGTATGTAAATTGCAACTTGGATACAGCTATGTTTGTAATTTGTAGGCTTAGATATAGTTATTTCTGAATTAGCCCACATAAATTTTGAAAAATATGCAGTTAGTTGGACGCAAATTGGACCAGATTCCATTCTTAGCACTGTGCTGAGCTAAACCTTAGTATTTCTCATTTACTACTATTACGAGCAATAATAATAATTTAATTTCTTGCCCACTCTTCACCCTGAAATCCCAGGGTGGGTTACAATAATTTAAAATAAAACATATAAAACATCTTTTAAAAATTTACAGTCACAAAAATAGAGAAGATTCTAAGGCCATGTTATCAAAGGTACAGGGGAATTTCTTCACCATTCACCAAAAAGTCTATCATGGAGTTGCCTGATGCACCTCTGTGAGAAGCGGGTTTCACAGCTTAGGGGCCACCACAGAGAATGCCCTCTCCTGGACTACCAGCACCTCCCCAAGCTTCTGAGGGTGGAGAAACTACCAAGAGGACTCTTTCTGTTGCTCTAAATTCTGTTGCTTTCCCCGCTGGAGATGGGAAAAGGCTCACCCTTAAAACTGGATACCAAAACCAGAGATGGCAATGACACCCTGAGGACTTCCTCTCCATAGCAGTAGTATGATGATGATTTATCATTTATGAAGGCACCTAAAAATTACTAAGCACCATGTACAGATTAAAACCAAGACAGCACTACACCTCAGAATAAATCACTGGCCAAAGAACTTTCAGAATCTGTGCCTTTTTGTGCATCCAGAAGGATGGGTTAGGGTTAGGGCTTCCTGTAAAAGCCATCAAGCTGCTACATTGCCCATCTTCAGGTACCTGCTGGTTGGGTGGGGCCCCTTCTAAGTCACAAGGCACTTTCTTGCTTTTGCTGCAATAACAGCAGATGAATGCCGCTCAAGACTGTCGGATGCCAACCACCACAATGCAGCTGTCTTTCTGGAAGCTGACTTCAGAACTGCCTCGCTGCTTCGCTCCGCTGGACAGCTGCCTTGCCTTACTTGGAAGATTATGAACCTAGCCCTTGTCAGCCACCAGAGAAAATACAGCTCAAATTATTCCAAGTCATCCAAAGGGAGATCAACATCTCGTAAAAGAGAACGGTTACTCCTAGGCTGGACAGCCGTGCTGAGGACACAACATTTTATGCATATATATTGTTTGTTAAAACCCCAACATAACATTTCTCGAAAAGTTTCCATTGGTGGTGGAAAGTAATGTGCTGGGGGGGGGGGGGAGAGGAAAAAAACCCAAGGGTTTGAGAGAGGAGATGCCACTCTATAGGCTATTGAGACACATATAGCAACAAGGGGAAGTTATTGTGTTGAAATTGCAGAATCATCTCATGCTGTTATAATAATTACATTAAAACAGGAACTTTGAAAAGCAGCTCACCTTCAGATCACTGGCTGGTTGGTAGGGGGCCATGCTTTGTTTATTTAATCAATGGGGGTGCATGGCTAATGGTTCAGAAAAGTTTGGCTCCAGGCTTAGAGGCATTAATAACTCTTCCATTCAGATGATGGAATTGATCAGCAAGCCTAGCCTATTTGTGAACGATTATTGCAGAATTGCGGGAAGTAAAGTCAATGTATGAAACCAATCCACACACACACCCCACCACACACACACACACACACCATGCAAAGAGATTTGCCTGCAGACTATAAAGCAGAAGATTGGATGGGCAAGATAACAGATCATTCATAACTGTTGGTCAAAATTGCATTGTGGCTATTGAGCGTTTGAAAATGAACTATAAGTAGCGTTTGCTATTGATTTCACTTTTTGTTAGAAACAATAAAGCTGACACATAGAATGGAGGAGAACAGACTGGTATCGATCCTGCTCCCTTTTGAACAACTTCACTGCAGAATTTGAGATCTGATTTTAATGTGGGATTTATTAAGGCTTTTTTTTCACACTCTTCTACAATGCACTCCTTGGGCACAGGTGGTTAGGATGCATCAAGGATGGAATAAGACCTTCTGAAAAATAGCAGTTTTTGTAAAAGTTTGCCATGAGCGAAACAACTGAAAGCCAAATTGTGCTACATCCACCCTCTGAAGAAGATACAGCAGTGAAGATATTTTGAGAGATGACAAAGGTCTTGAGTGAGCTTCTCCCACGAGGGGCCAGCCAGGGCAAACCACTATCATTGCCGTCATCATCACTTTGGCTGTGCACACTTCACACTTCCCTCGGACTCCAGTGCACTCCCACTGCTGGTGTTTGAAGCCATGTACACATGACATTAGCCATAATCCATATCCACCCTGTAGTATCTCGAGGAATACTGCTGTTCAGTGTGCTTTCCCACATAAGAACATAAGAAGAGCCTGCTGGATGAAGCCAATGGCCCCTCTAGTTCAGCATACTGTTTCCACAGGAGCCAACCAGATGTCTGTGGGAAACCCACAAGCAGGATTTGAGCACAAGAGCCCTCTCCCCTCCTGTGGTTTCTAGCAAATGATATTCAGAAGCATTGCTTCACCTGACTGTGGAGGCCATCATGGCTAGTAGCCATCAATAGCCCTCTCCTCCATGAATTTGTCTAATCCTCTTTTAAGTCATCTAGGTTAGTGGCCATCACTGCCTCTTGTGAGGGTGAGTTCCATGGTTTAACAATATGCTTCATAAAGAAGTCCTTTCCTTTACCTTAAATCTTACAACATTCAGCTTTCTTGGATGTCAGTGAGTTCTAGCATTATGGGAAATGTGGGGAAAACTTTTCTCTATCTGCTTTCTCCATGCATGCACCATTTTAAAAGCTCTTGCTTGCCTTGAAATCAACTTCTATTTGATTTGAAAACCTAAGCTGAAGTATGCGCATTTGAGACAGCCATTGCATGAGTCCAGATGACAGCTTCACGAATTGGAGTTGGGAGCGGTAGGGGCAGGAACCAAGCAGGCAATGCACATTGGATGAACACATCCCTGCCGCATCTCTGGTGTGCAGATTTGTGCAACTGTGACTTGCAATGCATCAGAAGAGAAACAATCTCACTGCATTTTAAGCCACTGGTATGTCCATAGTTCCGTAACACAGCACAAGATTTGCCATTGCTCTGCTTTTGTGACATTTTCCAGGCACGTGAAGCTTCACTGGCTTGAGAGACCGCATATGAGCTTCTGAGCACATAAGGATAGCTTTACTCCAAAACTGGATTTCTGCAGAGTTCAGCTTATAGCAAGCTGAATCTTTGCTTTACTATGGAGCAAAGCCAGCTGTGAACAGACGTGAGCCTTGCCGCTATGAAAGACACACACCCAGAAATAGTCAAGCGAGATGCAGCAAATGTGGGCTGAGCTGTAAGCCATGGAGTGAGAGAATTGCAGAACAGTTTCACCCTGTGCTTCATTCTGCAGCACAGAATCATGGAATCACAGAACTGTAGAAGGGACTCAAAGGGTCATCTAGTCCAAGCTTCTGCTATGCAAGAATCACAGCCAAAAGGTCCCTGACAGATGGATCAAGCATCTTGCCCTGCATTCTTCACTATCTAACAAGGCTGTGTGAATCTGCTCATACTTTGCAAACAATTTTTCCCTCTGTCTCCTCACAATGTTGCAGTTTAAATCAGGTTACGGATTTGATTTATCTAGAGACATCTGCTGTTCCATGCACGTCCCACTTTGCATCAAGGCAAGCACCACCGTGCTAATAAGATGGCTATTACTTCCATTTGCCTCTGATTCATTCTGCACCCTTCCCTTCGAAACGCACCTATTTGCTTCCACCTCCCCCTCCACTCTTGGATAATAACAAATAGACAGTATTTCACCCATGAAGGGGACCCCATATGCTTATATTCCTTTCCCCCCTCCCCTCCCCTCCCACCTTACAAGAGGCCTCAAAGACCCATCAGTATTTCAGGCCTTCCTTACATGCAAAAAAGAAAGGTAATCACCCTTCACGGGTGAGGCGCTCAATGGGGAGTTGTGTCGCATTATTCTAAATTAAACCAATTCTCTTTCTATTTTTTAGTGCTTGCTGCTGAGGAGGGAGTCGAAAGGTGGGGAGAGTGACTGTGACCCAACCAGGGGGTCTGGCTTTGGCTGCCTTCCAAGGCCGACAGAGGAGCCCTTGCCAGGAAGGAAGGAAGGAAGGAAGGAAGGAAGGAAGGAAGGAAGGAAGGAAGGAAGGGCAAGGGGCATGTGGAATGCACCTCATTCTTCTGACAGGTATATATCCATGTGGCAGCTTCCTTGGCAATATTCTCACACCTGATTCTGTCATTTAGAAGGGTGCAAGGAACAGTCTGAATTGATTGATACAGAATCACAGAATCATATAATTGCAGAGTTGGAAGGGGACTCAAAAGTCATCAGGTCCAATGCCCTGAGATGCAGGAATCACAGCTAAAGAATCTCTGACAGATATCCACCCAACCTCTGTTTAAAAACCTCCAACAAAGGGGAGTCAGCCACCTTCCAAGGTTGTCCATTCCACTGCTAAACAGCTCATACTGTCAGAAAGTTCTTCCTAAGGGCTAGTTGGAATCCTCTTTCTTGCAATTAGAATCCACTGGTTTGACCCTATCGTCTGGAGCAGCAGAAAACAAGCTTGCTCCATCTCCCATGTGACAGTTCTTCAGTTACCTGAAGATTGCAATCATATCACCCCTCAGCCTTCACTTCTCCAGGCTAAACATACTCAACTCCCTCAGCCATTCCTTGGTTTCCAGACCCTTGATTATTTGGTCACTGTCCTCTGCACAGCTTCCAGCTTGTCAGTATCCTTCAATTGTGGTGCACAGAACTGAACACAGGACTCCAGATGGGGTGCATAAAGCAAATAGATGTGCATGTGGAGCAAAAGGGGGATAATTTGTTTGAAAGCCACCCATATCAAAATCTCCCTGATTATGAATATTTATAGGTCAAGGAGAAAGCAGGAGTAGAAGCTTCCCCCACAACATACTCAAAATCTATAGGCAGGGATTCGGGGGAATGGGTCATTAACAGCATGAAGCATCTGGATACAGCTGTGGTTTTTAAACCAGGCTTAGGGTGTCTATTATGTTTTACTTGAACTTTGCAAACACTCCTCCATTTTTCTTACAGCTGCCAAGAGAGATGATGCTTGAAAGACTTCTCAGCTGCAGCAATCTGTGGCTGCTGTCCATCCCATAATCCATGCTGTGGCTCTGATCTCATATGGGAGCAAATTATGCACACAGACAGAGATATAGTTTTTGAAGTTTCCACAGCAGCTACTGAAAAGGCAAGCTGTTTTCCAGGGGGAAAAGATATTATTTAAGGAAGTGACTAAAATGTCTAACTGGTACACAAAATTAAAAAGCAATCCAGACCCTGCCACAATCCAGGGAGAGAGGTAAGCAAGACACATCAGGAAAGAGGAAAACAAAGGAGAACTGTATCTGAAGAGTGGCTTGGCTTTTCAGTCCGGGATGGAGACCTCCAACGAGCCTTGGCTATTCAGCATTCCCCTATATATATATATATTTTGTGTGATGTTCTGGATGTTTGCCTGAAAGCAGTTATTGGCCCACGGTTTAAGAACCAGCATGGTTATAGAATCAAAGAATCATTGAATTGTAAAGTTGGAAGGGACCCCAACCGTTAAGTAGTCCAACCCCCTGCAATGCAGGAACCACAGCTACAGAATCCCTGACAGATGGCCACCCAAGAGATGCGAGATTGTAACCATCTTCAAATATCTGAAGGGCTGTCACATGGAAGATGGAGCAAGCTTGTTTTCTGATGCTCCACAGGGTAGGGGGTTGGATGGCTATTGGTCATGGATGCTATAGCTGAGATGCTTGCATTGCAGGGGTTGGACTAGGGTTACCAGACGTCCCTGGGGACAGTCCCCTGATTTGCAAATCTGTCCCCGGACAAATTCCGTCCCCGGAATGTCCCAAGATTTGCACATCTGTCCCCGGGAAATGTGGCAGCGGCAGCCTTAGCAGCCCAGAGCCAGCCTTGTAACGCAGTTGGCTCTGGCTGGCTCCAAGCTGCTCTGACTGCTGCTGGCACCGCCACTGTCGAAGGGGAACCGGGGACGTCCAGCAGTACAGATCTCCTGCCCCCTTCCCCCTTTGTTTTGACTGATGGAGGAGGCTTGGGAGTTGCGGGTGGGCAGCCATTGCCCAGGAGGGGCACAAGGCACGTGGTTTCTCTGCTGGGCAAGCTGCAAAGCCCTTCTTTCACACCCTGTGAAACATAAATGCACAGAATTTTTAAAAAACTGGGCAACGGCCTGCCACATGCCCATGACTCCCAAGTCTCCCCTGATCTCCTTCCCCCTTCCCCCTTTATTTTGACAGATCGGGGGAGGCTTGGGAGCCACGGGCAGGCACCATTGCCCAGTTTTTAAAAAATTCTGCACATTTATGTTTCACAGGGTGTGAAAGAAGGGCTTTGCACCTTTATACAATATGCATGTGTGCTTGAGCCCAGGGTCTTTTGCCTCACCATCCCCACTACTAACTCTCTTTGCCTCTCAGCTTCAAAAAAAAAAAAAAGGGAAAAAAAGAGGGTGCCCAGATTCATTGGAAAAAACCCTGGGGTCCCTTACAAATCTATAATGATTTTAATATGTTCATTATTTTTACTTTCATATTGTATTCTTATGCTAAATCCTTTCAGGACTTTTTGTTGTGGGATGCAATGCATGTACTCACTAAACCTCACCTAACACCTGTATTCCGTGTCAGTATTTGATACTCACAAATATTCTTGCTTGCCTAACTGGTCTGTGCTTGAAGTGGGAGGGTAGCTTCCTGCTGTCTGTTGGGCTTCCCTCCTGGAACAAGTAGCCAAGGTTGAATTTGGGCCAAAAGCTAGCTATGCTGCTAATGAGAGGATCATGAGTCTCTGCTGAGCAGAGGGAGAAGGGTCAGCCTGTGTCTATCATCCTGACAGATTGGAAGACTTGCTGCCATCATCCTGGGACATCACACAGTGAGGAGACAAGAAACAGTAACAAGGGTGAAAGGTGTCCTGTTCCCTTCCATCACTGATGGCATGACTCACCCTCACTGCTCCTTCCCATAAATAAAACGAAAACTTCCACCTTAATGCAAAGGACATCTGGCAGCAGTGTTTGGCAATGGCTTTCATTCTCAGGGAAGGCAGATGCTGGGGTGCCCTGAGCAAGGAGCAGTGGCAGATCTTGGGGTCTCAAATTTCAGCCACGCCCTGTGTGACACCAAAATCCATCACTCCTCCAACTGTCACGCCTAGTTGCATAGTTGCAGGCCCCCGCTCCTCCCACATGCCCCTAAATCTGTCTCTGCAAGTAGAAGTCACTAAAGGAACATCTAGGGGTCTCTTTTGTGGGAGAACTGGGCTGATCATAGAATTGTAGAACATCACACAATTGTAGAAGTGTCATCTAGTGCAACTCCATGCAATGGAGGAGTCACAGTTAATGGTGGTGACGTTGGAGAATGTGTGGAGGTAACTGGTCAAAAGAATGCTCCAGACTTGGAATGGTGCTGATTGGGGAGCTGTGCTGACCCAAAACATGCTATCCAACTGGATTACTGCAATGTGCTCTATGTAGGGCTTCCCTTGTACAGTGGTACCTCGGGTTAAGTACTTAATTCGTTCTGGAGGTCCGTTCTTAACCTGAAACTGTTCTTAACCTGAAGCACCACTTTAGCTAATGGGGCCTCCTGCTGCCGCTGCGCCGCCGGAGCACGATTTCTGTTCTCATCCTGAAGCAAAGTTCTTAACCCGAGGTACTATTTCTGGGTTAGCGGAGTCTGTAACCTGAAGCGTATGTAACCCGAGGTACCACTGTATTTGATCTGGAGGCTGCTGAAAGCTGCAGCATGACTGCTGACTGCAGTGAGACCTTGGCAGCATGTAAGACTTGTGCTCAAAGATTTGCAGTGGTTGGTGATTTGTTACTTCGTAAAGTTCAAGGCGTCGTTATTAGTACAATGGTACCTCAGGTTACAGACTCCTCTAACCCAGAAATAGTACCTCGGGTTAAGAACTTTGCTTCGGGATGAGAACAGAAATCGCGTGGCAGCAGCGGGAGGCCCCATTAGCTAAAGTGGTACCTCAGGTTAAGAACAGCTTCAGGTTAAGAACAGACCTCCAGAACAAATTAAGTTCTTAACCTGAGGTACCACTGCATATAAAGCCCTTAACAATTTGGGACCAGCCTACCTGCAAGATCACCTTACCCTATATGTGCCCACTTGATGGCTTCGATCAGCAGAACTGGTCCTGTTACAGGTGCCAGATAATACTCATTCCACATTTTTAAAAAACTCAGTATTTTAGTGTGACAGCCCCCACACTTTGGAACTCCCTGCCTGTTGATGCCAGGCTGGCACCTTCCTTATGCTCTTTTCAGCACCTGCTTAGGCAAGCCTGCTCAAATGTTTAGAAAACTGATGTGAGTTTTACTCTTGCTTTTAATCTATTGGCATTTTAATATTTCAGAAGTCTTCTTTTATTGGTTTTTAATTCTGCTTACTGATAATTTTGTGGTTTCATCTTTTTTGCAAACCGCTTTAATGTTCCCAGTTTTTGTTTCGTTTTGTTTATAAACAAGCAGTGTATAAATTTTATGAAAATAAATGAATGAATAAAACTCTCTCCCTTCCTCCCTCTCCTGCCCATTCTCTGCCCCCCCCCCCCCACACACACAGGGGTGACATTTCCCAGGAAATTCTTCTGTGCCAAGTGTATGGAAATGACACAGTGGAGGAAAATGTGAGTGTCCTTGTGACTCCCATAGGCTAGACCTGTTTGCTTTGCATTGCTGTCACTCTGAGCAGCACCCAGTAAGAGTCTCATTTCTTCCTGCTGTGGATGCATCTGGTGGAGGGCTACAGGGTAATGCGGCAAGAGTGGCAAAATGGAAGCCCCAAGCAAGTTTTTAATGCAGCTGGATGAAAAACATGTTCTAGGGCCCTTCATCCTTGTGCATCAGATCCCATCCCCCCCCCCCATTGAATGAGCTGTGAATCATCTTCTGCTCAGCTTCTTTTGCGTCCCTCTTCTCCCTACTCCTTCCTCGCCATTGTTTTCCTTTCACGGACTCAGCCACACTAAAGGGAGGATTGATGCTTTTTGTGTCAAATCCAAACAATATCTGTAGATTGTTGCAATGCTATTGACAGCTTAATTCCTCCTCTTGTGCCTCCCATACTTCATTTATGAAAAGTGCTGTAATTATCCCCCCGGCCTGTTGCTGGAGAGACCATCATGCACGCAACTGAAAAGGACTCCAAATGGGAGCACCTGATGGCACAGAAGAAAGACTTTCTGCTGTGCAGTGTTTCTGGAGGTCTGAATCCTCCATTTGCTATGGTTCCTCTCTATCTCTCTCATTCTCTCTCTCTCTCTCTCTCTCTCTCTCTGTGTGTGTGTGTGTGTGTGCATGTGTGTGTGGAGTGGAACTCTGAGCTGATTTGAAACAGCCTTGGCTGCTCTCCTGCTTTCTCTTTCTGCCTACAACCAAGCAATTGACAGAGCTGCCTCAATACATTTTGATATGTCAGCTGGAAAATCGAAAAGTCACCTCCTCGTTGCATGAGGTTACAAACTGTATGTTGGTGCAGAGTCAGGCCCTTGTGGATTCATCCAGCCCAGGGTTTAAAACCTGGAACCCTTGCTTATAGGTTCTGGGTCAGCACATGCAAAGAATGGGTGAGCCAAATAATTTCCATAATTAAAGTCCACTTTATTACCCAAAGCTCATGGCATGCACCCAAATGTCTCAGCTCCCTTTGGGGGAGGGGTGTTACTAGCAATAGAACCATTGTGGAGTAATGGCTAAAGTATTGGACTATGACCTGGGAGACCAGGGTTTGAATCCCCACTTGGTGGTGAAGCTTAGTGGGTGATCTGGGGCCAGTCACCATCTCTTAGCCTAACCTACTTCACAGGGTTGTTGTAATGATGAAATGGGGAGGAGGAGAACCATGTATACCACCTTGAGTTCCCTGGAACAAAAAGGTGGTATATAAATATACCATAAATATAGCAACAGCAACAACATCTCCTTATGGATTTCATGGTGCCATCTCTTCATCCTGGCTTAGTTGGCCCACACAAGTAGTGCTGCCCTAGCAAGCAGCATATATTGGGTTGGGCTGAGAGCAATGACCATGACCCCAAATAACTACCTTTATGGTGACATTCCTTCACTTGATAGGAGAGCAACTGGTTCTTGGAGACAGGGCTTCTTCTCACATTTTAAGATACTGTCAGAAGGCCTGTGCTGACATACAAAGGCAGATAATCAGAGATCTGTAAGAGGAAAGTGAAGTAGAAATTCCGGAGGGGAACAAGAAACCCACTGTCAGTGAGACCAGTGTCATGTATATAAGGGTATGGCCTGAGAACTAAACTGGTCAAAATCAGTTTAAAGTAAAGGTAAAGGACCCCTGACAGTTAAGTCCAGTCTCGAACCACTCTGGGGTTGCAGCACTCATCTCACTTTACTGGCCGAGGGAGCCGACATTTGTCCACAGACAGTTTTTCCAGGTCATGTGGCCAGCATGACTAAGCCGCTTCTGGCGAAACCAGAGCAGCTCACAGAAACACTGTTTAGCTTCCTGCCGGAGCGGTACCTATTTATCTACTTGCACTGTGACATGCTTTCAAACTGGGACCGAGCAAAGGGAGCTCACCCCGTCACAGGGATTCAAACCACCAACCTTCCAGTCAGCAAGCTCAAGGCTCAATGGTTTAGACCACAGCACCACCTGCATCCCACAAAAAACTAGTTTAGGAGGAACTTAATGACTGAGTGGAACACAACTCCAGATGAGGCACAAGGAGGAGTCTGTATGAGGTGAGGTGATGTGTCTCGGGGCGGCAGGCTCCAGATAGCTGGGAGGGGTAGCAAATCTGGCCTCCATGAAGCATGCTCTATGCTTGTTGGCTGATGCCTCCTCTTCCTCTGTGTGCCCACTGCCATACACTCAGCTTGCTGCTGGCGCAGCACATCGACACATTGCTGCCAGGTGGCAGGCAGGCATGTGGGCGGTGAGAGGACACACAGTGGTGGGGATGTAGCAGAGGAAGAGGAGGTGGGTGTGGGGATGTGCACAGTGGTGGGCATGCAGTGGAGCAGGAGGTGGTGGCAGCAGAGGGGAGGCATTTTCCGTCCTGGCAATGACATCACTAGGGGGTGAACATTCATGGTTTGCTCATCTGCTCTCCTTCCAAGGGGATAAAAGGTGTCAAATGCCAGCAATGCTTTTCTGTACCCTACTACAATAAAGTTGTCAGTCTCTATGAAAAATGGACACAAATTGGACAATCAGAACTGGACAAATTGGACAATCAGAAACCCGACATACAGTATTAGGATTGTTTGTACCTAACCATCCTCTGTTGGCCATATTTGAACAAAGAAACTCCAGAGGGAACCTCCAGCTTGAAACTTCTGAATGTTTTTTTTTCTCCAGGGAATCCAGCTCTGTCACCTGTGACTTGAATTGAGATGATGGAATTGTATCGCACTGCATGTGCTAAATAGCTCCGTAATGCCAGGACATCTGTGTTGCTTATCACCAATGCTGCCTTGTTTGTTGTCGCTGTAGTTATTTTGCTTTTGCGTAATCATCACTATCTATCCATTCAATTTCCTTCTTGCCTCACTCCTCTCCATTCCCCCACCATAGGCCAGTTCAGGATCACGTTTCAGGCATTTGATGAAGTGGACTCTGGTCCATGAAAACTTTTGTTTCAATAAATTTGCTGTCCCTCTTTAAGATGACACATGGCTCTTTGTAGTTTTTGTTGCCACAGACTAAAATAGCTACCCTTCTGGATATTATCTCAGTGGGCTTCTGTCCAACATGGCTGTGGCGTTTGCCCTCCTAGGTGGGTCATAAGGAAAGGGTTAAATGAGTGTGAAGTGATTAGCCAGTGGGAACCCAAGGGGAGGAGTTAGAGTTAGAGTTGGAGTTGTTGGGAAGTCAGTTGGGAGTTGGAGAAGGAAGAGGGAGGATAAGTCTGTGGGTTGGTCTAGTTTTGATGTGAGAGAGTGAGAGAAACTGTTAGGAGGAGTAGATAGACAGTTGGGATAATCAGTTAGAAGTTATTAGGAAGGTATAGGCCGGTAAAGAAACTAAGATTAAGAAACTGACAAGAAAAATTATCTGAAACCATAAACTTGTTAATGCTTATAAAATAAACTTGCTTATTTGATTTAATGCTAACAACTGTCTGGACTCCGTGCGTACCCGAGAGAAACGGGTTGGTGGCAGCGGGGAAGCAATCACAGTGGTGGCACAGGGATCAATAGACCATCAAACGTCTGGGGACCCTGTGTGATTGCCACATTGGCAAACTGGAATCTGATGCAGTGAGCCTTTGATGTGATCCAGCAGGACTTTTCTTGTGTTCTCCACTGTATTCAAACACACTATTGTTTCTACTATTCTCAAAAACCATCCCTTGATGGAATGTAGGAAGCTGCCTTGTGGTCCATCTAGCTCAGTACTATCTGCACTGACCAGGGCTCTCCAAGGTTTCTGATGTGAATGTTTTTCACAGCCCTACCTGGAAATGCCAAGGCTTGAACCTAGGGCCATCTACATGCTAAGCAAATGCTCTATTGCTGAGCTGCAGCCCATCCTCCTTCTCCAACAACTGCCTCATTTCCCCAGTCCCTTTGCCTTCAAACTCCTGCAGGATGCTGCTCCAAACTGGCTCAATATTCTCTCCCCCAAATCCTTTTCTGACACCTCCCCCACAAGCTGGCTTCAACCTTTGCTGTCCCCTGAAATGTCTCTCAGCAATAATCCTCTTGCTTTCAAATCTAAAGGTGTCCACTCAGTCCTCATCCTCCTTGACCTCTCCAACACCTTTGGTACAGCTGATCTCCTCCCTGTCCCTCCCTCTCCTTTTCTCTCTCTGGAAAACATCCCCAAGGCTGGCGCTTCCACAAGGCAAGGTGAAGTAATTTGCTTCAGGCAGAGGATCTGCCTCTTGATCCAACCACTGTGACGCTATTGCCTCAGTGGACCACTGCCAGTCCAGTTGTGGCTTCACCCATGCCCTTACCACTGTGTCGTGGCAGCAGTGTGGGTGCAGCAGCAGGCAAGGGTGTAGTTTGGACAGTGCCAGCTGCATTGCATGGGTGCAAAGGTGGGGGCATGAAGGGGCCCAAATCTGTGGCTGGTGGTGGGAGGATGGGACAGCAGCAGAACATTTTGCCTATAGCAACAAAACATTCCAGGTTGCCCCTGTGCCTCCCTTTTTGGTTGCCTAGCTTATCACAAAATTGTGGAGTTGGAAAGGACCCAAAGGGCATCTAGTTCCATGCAGGAACCACAAATAAATTATAAGCCCCTCAACATTTATGGAGAAGGTTCTGCTGGAGAGAAAAGACTTGGTCAGGATTGGCTGGATGTGGAGGAATATGTATGGAGACAGCTGGTCTCTGTGGGACAACAGCTTTTTCTTCTCTGCGATGAATCACTTTTTGTCCATTAAAGTTGACATTCCAGCCATCTCCTATCACTTCTCTGGAACGACAGTAGCCCAGGCAAGTGCCACAAAAAACAGCATCCCACCATGTGTTCACTATCACCTACCCACAGTAGAAAACAGAAGGGGGCAATTGGTTGTTCCTGAGTGCACAGGGCAATTGGTTGTTCTTGGGAAGAGAAAGGTAGAGCCAGGACTCCAGGCAGAGCCCATGTGAGGGAGAACCATCTTGGCAGGCTGGGACAAAGGCATGTCTAGGACACCATGGACTCCAATGCTGCACTGCTGTCGGGAACAAGCCCCTCTTGAGAAGCAATGCTCTGAACTCTCTCCAAGGTAGACCCAGGTGTAAACATGTGTACAAGGAACTATATTTCTTAAAGGCACTAGTCTCTGTTGTGCCTTGATTTCCCAACAGAACCACAACCCTGGGGGAGCACCTGAAACACCCTGGAAACTTGCTACCGCTCAGCAGAGATGGGGGCGGGTGCATAACCTTTGTAATGACATTCATAGAGTATATCACACATTTTATTTCCAGATAAATGGACCTGGCTAACATATCTCAGATGCTTCAAGGCTGCTGTTCTTGAACTCCATCGTATATCTAAAACTCTGGGCAGTTGCTGCCATTTACCAAGAATCTGTGCCAGTTTTCATCTCAGAAAAGGCCAGAGGTTCTGTGGGTGATGTGCAACTTCAGCAGTTCTTCAGATGCTCCATTTCATAGTTCGTGGTCAACCCAGGACACCTGGGACTGGCTAATGAAGTGATTTAAGTGGCCACCTTGATAGATACTGACATATCTGCTTAGCCCAGACTCAGAGGACTTCCTCTCTTTCTGTGGCAAAACAGATAAGAGCGCTCTCTCTCTCTCTTCACTTCTTTTTCGAGCAGCTGAATAAATAACACGCCAATCAATGAGCTGCAGTTCATTACTTAAGTAGCTACTTGAATCTTTTAAATGCTCATATATTTCTTTTGGGGAATAAATTTCCCAGGGAAACATCTAAGATTATAAAGCCTGAAAGGATGTTCACTGTTTTTGGCCCACTGAGGTTCCCTTCCACAATGCAGGAGTAAGAATGTAAGAAGAGCCTACTGGATCAGGCCAATGCCTTTCTAGCCCAGCATCCTGGTTTCTCAGTGGCCAACCAGATGCCCCAATGGGAAATCTGCAAGCAGGACCCAAGCACAAGAGCCCTCTCCCCTCCTCTGGTTTCCAGCAGCTGGTATTCAGAAACATTACTGCCTCTTTGGAGGCAGAGCATCACCATCATGGCTAATAGCATACTCTCCAACCTTCCACCACTTTCAGAGTCCACCACCTTCTGAGGCTGTCCATTCCACTGTCAAATAGCTCTCACCCCCAGGAAGTTCTTCCCAGGGTTGGGCTGGCCATTAGGCAGAGTGAGGTGGTGGATGTCCCCAAGGCTGCACCCCTGCAGGTGTTCTGCCTGCCCCGCGGGCTCTACCAGCAGTGGAGACGTGGCAGAGGTGGCAGGGCAGGCGGTGCAGGTGGCGCAGGTGATGGTGGAAGCAGCAGGTATGGCAGTGCTGGTGGTAGGAGTCGCAGCAGGGCAGCACTTCCCATTTCACCTCAAGTGTCAAAACAGGATGTGCCATCACTCGTTCTTCTGAATGTTTAGTCAAACCTCTTGTAATGTAAATGGTTCAGGTCCTACCCTCTGGAGCACCTTGCTCTATCTTCCATGTGATGGTCCTTCAGATATTTGAAGATGACTGTCATATCAGAGTTTTCATGCCCTGGATCATCTTGATCACCCTCCCCTGCATACCTTCCAGCTTGTCACTATACTTCTGAAATGATGGTGCCCAGAAATGGACAGAGGACTTCAGGTGCAGTCTGACTGAGGCAGAAGAGAGCCTTATGATGCTTGCTTTTGAGTTCCACCACCTGCTACCTGCTGAGGTAGTTTTGTCAGCACCAGACAGGTGCTGCTGCTTGGGTTGGGCTCCAGGTGAGCTCCCCAAGGCAGCTTGCAGGGTTTCAGCCGCCCCAAAACAGGGTGAGCATTTATTGCCCTTGACCATGAAAGACAGCTGGCCCAGCTTGGAGAATGGTTAACAATCCCTTTCTTTGACATTTTCAGAAAGTTTGCTGCTGTTAAATGATTCATGCACTCCATACTGCCTCTGGGCGCAGCTCTGCCTGTAAACAGCATTGCAGTCTCCCGTGTGTTGACGTGCACTTCCCAGGAAATCCCAAAACAGACACTTCCAGTCCCCTCCCCTCCCTGTGTCACGTCACCAGCATCACACAGAGGGGGTTGTAGGGAGCGGTGGCATCTCACATTCATATTCTGGAGGCTGCGCCTCGAGCAATTTTTGCAAATTGTCCCTGATGAGCATTGCTGCGTATCTCATATTCCAAGCCCTTTAATATTGCACTTAAACTGTGTCAGCAGAGTTGTCGGAAGAGTGTAAAGAAGCAAAAGACTCCCCGTCACTCATAAGGAGAAGCCTAGCAATTAAAGGAAAGTGATCAGTAAAGAGACGTTGGGGTTGTAGTCAATGGTTTGACAAAACTGTTGACCCAGCTGTGGCAGCCATGGGAAAGGCAAATGCCATGTTAGGGATCATTTGGAAAGGAATTGAAAATAAAACTGCCAATATCATAAGGCTGCTCCAGAAATCGATGGTGCAGCTACACTTGGAATATTTTGGATAGTTCTGGCCGCCGCACCTTTGCTCAGCTCTGCAAAGACATGGATTCATTACATCACTGCCTATCCTTGCACTTGGAGGTTTGCTGTCTGTCCCATGAAAAAGTTTTAAATCGGGTCTTGCAACTGAAGAACAAAGTTTTTGGAACAAGAAGGGAACCTGTTGCACCAGGTGGATGACAACGACTAGTGTGCAAAACTGCTATAGCTGGCCAATATCTTTACCCAGTTGAATGAGCTCAATGTTGGTATGCAAGGCTACAATGATAATATCCTCACTATTACAGGCAAACTAGCTGCATTTTTTAATTTAAAAAAGGCTTCAGCTCTAGTGCAGAAGAGCGATGAAACATAATCTCAAAATGTCCCCACTTGTAAAAAAATTAAAGACAAGCAATGAATTGTACGGCCTCATTCAGGAACATCTTGCAACACTGGTAGAAAAGGTTGATCATTGCTTCACATTGTTGTCTATAGAAAATTTTGACTGGGTTAGAGACCCCTTTGCGAATTGCAGTGGTTCAGGACTGACATTGAATGAGGAAGAGGAAACAGCCTGATTTTACCTTGAAAATGAAACAGGGTAGTATGCCACTTGACTCTTTCTGGATATACAGTCAGAATCAGTATCCATGCCTTTCTTCAAGAGCATTGAATATTCTACAGTTTTCTACAACATGTTGTTGTAAACAGGGATTTTCCACTCTGACAAATATGAAAGATCAGAGAAGAGAATGGTTTATTTGTGATGAGAGTTTGTTTGTCTCAGATTAGACCTAATATACATGAGATTAGGGACGCGGGTGGCGCTGTGGGTTAAACCACAGAGCCTAGGACTTGCTGATCAGAAGGTCGGCGGTTCAAATCCCCGCGACAGTCCCTGCTCCTGCCAACCTAGCAGTTCGAAAGCACGTCAGAGTGCAAGTAGATAAATAGGTACCGCTCCGGCGGGAAGGTAAACGGCGTTTCCGTGCGCTGCTCTTGTTCGCCAGAAGCGGCTTAGTCATGCTGGCCACATGACCTGGAAGCTGTACGTCGGCTCCCTCGGCCAATAAAGCGAGATGAGCACCGTAACCCCAGAGTCGGTCATGACTGGACCTAATGGTCAGGGGTCCCTTTACCTTTACATGAGATTACCTGGCAAAAGCAAACTCACATCTCTCCTTGAGTTTGTATACATACTTAAGACTCATTTATAGTTATATTTTGGGAATGATTTGTGTTCTTATATAGCTGCATTGTTTTATACTTTCTGGATGTCCCATGATCATATGATAAAGTAGTTATGTTCTATGTTATAAATCAAGCACTGCTAGGAGTTGTTTCTTCTTGTTTTCCAATGTCTTTCTTATCAATACAAAATTCTGTGTGGCACAAGCAAATTTTTCTTTTGAAAATGTGGCCCAGAGAAAAAGTTTGAGAACCAGTGCTCTACATACACTTGACTGGTTCAGGAAAC